AAACAGGCTCCAGGCTCTGAGCTGGCAGTCAGCACAGAGCCCGACGCGGGGCTCGAACCCACGAACCGCGAGATCGTGACCTAAGCGAAAGTCGGACGCTTAACCGACTAAGCCACCCAGGCGCCCCATATGAAACACTTTCAATATTTAACCCCGGCATTATGGGTTCGATGGGTATGACCCAAGAACACACCGTATGATCTCAGTTCTTTTCCATTTGTTGGGATTTGTTTTTCGGGCCAGGATATGGTCTATCTTGGTATACGTTCCATGGTATTTGAAAAGAATGTCTTCTGCTGTTGGATGGAATATTTTCATTGATTGGATCCTGTTGATGGTGTTAAGTTCTACATCCTTGCTGATTTTCTGTCTAGTTGCTCTACCTATTGTTGCAAGGGGTGTTCAAGTCTTCAAGTGTGGATTTGCTATTCTTTCAGTACTTCCAAGTTTGCATCACATGTTTTGCAGCTCTGTTATTTGGTAAATACACATTTTGGATTATATCTTCTTTGGAGGCCGGCTCCGGCAGGTGCAGGGGTCCCTGAAGGATGGATGGTATCGGCGAGAGAGAGAGTGAGAGAGCCCCGAGATTCTTTCTGATCACCAGGAAGGCATCTCTGTCCTGTCGGTTTTTGTGTCTTTATTTAAAGGTTCAGCAACAAGATGAAGTCAGAGAAAGGAATTTCTTTCAATGGGAGACCTTTTGTGATAACAATAGAATTATTCCAACCAAGGAAGTAACAGAATGTTCTTAGTGAAAAATAGGATAACATATAGGTCAAATTGTATATAGATAAGCTAGCAGTATTTTGTCTGGCTCTCAAGAGGATGAATGTTTCTGAATTGGTTTGTTTGTGGAGACTAACATGGGGGCCCTGAATGGGTCAGTCTTTTGCCCCTGGGTTATGTTTAGCTACTCTTATCTATCCTCATCCCAGCTGCCAGTGTAAGAGAGGGTGTTTGTGGAAAGTAGGCCTTGAGGAAGACCTGTTATGTTTCACCAATTAGCAAAGATATACGTGGTAACTATGTTTTGCTCTTAACCCCAAAATAGGCCCTTTGTCTCAGGGCCAGGCTCAATTGAAATTCTTGTGTTCTTAACCCCCTAAGTCTCGGATCTGCAAGGCCCATAGGAAGAGCCTTTTAACAATCTTCCCCACAGAGTTTTCATCTAAAATATCTTTTGTAAAGGCAGGAATATGCTTTTCCTTATGAGGTATCTGTATTCAGAATATGGGTCTGATATAGAATAGTGTGAGGCCTGGTCAATACCAGCAGGCTTATATCCAACATGAGGCAATAGTAGCAGAAGGAGATACCAGTTTTCATTTCTCACGGCCGGAGCTGCAAATATTGCCACTTCCTTGCTGTGACTGCCATCCAGAGAGGCCGGTGCGGCTCCCGGCAATCTTCCTGGTGGATTGACTTTTTCTCATTTTATGATGTTCCTGTCTCTAGTAACTTTCTTCGCTCTGAAGTCTAATGTATCTGATATTAATATAGTTACTTTCTTGGGGTTGTTTGTATGATACGTTTCAATCCTTTCACTTTGAACCTTATATTGTCATATTTGAAGTGAGTCTCTTGTGGAAGCATATAGTTAGGTTATGTTCTTTCATCTACTTTGTGAACCTTTCAATGGATATATTTAGACCATTTACATTTGATATTCAGTACTTAGTGATCTTAGTGATCTAATCTCCCAATTTTTTTTTTTGCCTTCCTGTGGGTTATTTGAACATTTTAAAATAAATCCTTATTTTAAAAAAATGTTTATTTTTGAGGGGGGAGGGGCAGAGAAAACTGGAAGACCCAGAATCTGAAGCAGGCTCCAGGCTCTGAGCAGTCAGCACAGAGCCCAACGCGGGGCTCAAACTCACAAACTGTGAGATCATGACCTGAGCCGAAGTCGGACACTTAATCGGCTGAGCCACCCTGGCTCAGGCTTTAATTTCCTCGGAGAGCCTTTCATGCCAGGTTAGATCCACCTGCTGACTGAGCCACTCAGGCACCCCAATCCTTATTATCCATATTTATATCTGTAGTGTGTTGGTTGTATTATCTTTCTTTAGTGTTCTAAGAATCTCATCATATGTACTGCTTACCACGGTATATTCTTATTGACATTTTATCATTTTAAGTGAACTGTAGAGACCTATCCCCCCGTTACCTTCCCCTGATTATAAAGTGATTGACTTAAATATTTCTTCTATGTACACTGAGAACCACATCAATATTATAAATTTGGTTTCAACCATTAACCACAATTTAGAAAGCTCATGGAAAGGATATTTTTATTTACCCATAGTTTTACTATTTCTATTGTTCTACCTTCCTTTCTGATATACAAAGTTTATTCAGTTTTTAATTTTTAATATTTATTTTTGAGAGGGAGGCAGAGAGGGAGAGAAAGAGAATCCCAAGCAGGCTCTGCATGGTCAGTGTAGAACCTGGTGCAGGGCTTGATCTCATGAACTGTGGGATCGTGACCTGAGCAGAAATCAAGAGTTGGACACTCAACTGATGGAGTCACCCAGGCGCTCCTGCTTCTTTCTTTCCCCCTCTAAGTTTAGAGAACTTTTAAAACCATTATTTTAGGTAGATCTGCAGGCAACCAATTCTCCTAGTTTTCCTTCATCTGAGAATGTCTAAATTCCTCCCAATCCCTGAGACTTTTTTGCTAGACCCAGAATTCTCAGTTGACACTTTTCTTTCACTATGTGAAAGATGCACCACATTCTTCTGGCCTCATGGTTTCCAGAGAGAAACCTGTCACCCACATTGTTCTTCCCTTATAGGTAAGGAGTCGTTTTTCTTTTGCTGCTTTTGAATTTTTGTTTTTGGCTTCTCAGAAGTTTGGCTATGAGAAGTTTTTTGGGTTTATTTTGTTTGGGACTCTCAGAGCTTCTTGAATCCACAGGTTTAAATATTTCACCATTTCTGGGGAATATATGGCTATTATTTAAACTACTTTTTCAGCCCCAATTTTTCTTCTCTCCTTGTGGTAGTCTGATGACACAGATTTTAGATTTTTTGTTACAGTACCATAGGTCCATGAAGTGCTGCCCCCCCCCCCCCCGTCTTTTTTGTAAGTATATTTCCTCTCTGTTCAGCGTTCAGATTTGGTAATTTCTATTGTTTTATCTTCAAGTTCAAGAATTCTTCCTACTCCACTGCTTTTCTAGTAATTCTTTCAGCTCTAAATGATTCTTTAGATTTTCTCTTTGCTTATTTTTTTCCATTTATTTCAAGTGTATTCATAATTGACATTTTTATGATGGCTGCTTTTGAATCCTTGCCAGATAATTCTAACATCGCTGTCACCATCTTGTCTTTTTCCCTCTGAGATTTTCCTGACCTTTTCTAGGAATGATTTTTGACTGAAACATGGACACCTGGGGTTGCTACGAAGACTGAATCCTATTCAATCATGTTGTGGCACAGCTCCTCTGATGGGGTCGGAAAGGCACCACTTAATTAGTGCCAAATTCAAGTTCCTCAATGTCTACTGACGCCCAGGGTGGGAGCACCTGTTAGGATTTTGTGGGGTGAGTTCCAGCATCCCGTCACACCTCTGCCTACAGCACCCTGGGTGGGAGGGGCTTGGGGACCTCATTTCTCATATGGCCTCCATTGACACCAACTGAAAGTTCCAGCTCCCTGCCTGGCCTTCTGTGACACCACCCCAATACAGCCTAGCAAGGAGGGAAGCCTAGGGTCCCAACTTGGCTTATGCGGGTAAAGTCAGGGTGGTGTCCTCTGTGGTCTGGCTGCAGGTTTCAGTCTTGCTAAGCTAGGCCTTTTTGGCCCTTATTTGGGGTTCTGTCTGCTTCTCTGGCACCGTTCGGTAGATGTGCAGCAAAAAGAAAACCCAGGGAACTCAGTGTGGGTAATCTGCTCTCTCTCTACCTTTCAGGCTTATGCTTGTTTTATATAAAGTTCCCAGGGTTGTATGTAGTAGAGAGGATAGAGATAAGTACTTCCTTCCATTCTACCTTCCCAGGAGCTGTTCCACTTTTAATACCTAATAAAACCATATGAAAAAGTACAACGGTACAGCCCCCGTGGAAACTGAATAGCAGTTCCTTAAATTACAAATAGAATTACCCTATGATTCAGCAATTCCACCTCTGGGCACGGACCCTCCCACAAATGAAGGTAAGGTCTTAAAGAGAAATTTGAGTACCCACGTTCGCAGCATTATTCACAACAGCTAAAAAATGGAAGCGTCCAACTGTCCACCCACAGATGAATAAGCAAAATGTAGGATACGCATACAATGTAGTATTCGCCAACTTGAAAAAGAAAATTCTGATTATGTGCTGCCTGGAGGAAGCGTGAGGACATTTTGCTAAATGAAATAAGCCAGTCATAAAACGACAAACACTGCATGATTCTACTTACGTGAATAGTCAGAATCTCGGAAAGTCCAGAGTTGCCAGGCTTTGGAGGAGGGGAGAACAGGCAGTTACTGTTTAACGGGACACTGTTTCAGGTGTACAGGGTAAGAGTGACGGGGAGGGACGCTGGTGGCAGGTGTGCGATGCGAAGGTCCTCCCCACCGCTGGCGCGCACGCCCAAACACGGTGAGGACAGTAAAGCTTCTATGCACTTTACCACACACACAGAAACCAACAACAAATTAATGTTTTTCTAACTGTAATTGATCTAAGAGGTAAATTTCACCTCTTCAAACCAAGGCAAAATCCGGGCTCTCTTGTTCCCTATGAACAGACCCGAGTCTGCGTTAGAGTTGCCTATGCCGAACACCCAGTGAGGCCCTCTAGGCCCAGGGCGTACTGGGGCTCAGTGCCTGGTGCTTCACAGACTCATGCTCACACCTCACCTCGTCAGCTGTGGAGACTGGCGTTCAGCAAGTCCTATGAGGAGCTCCCCCAAGGTCACGGCTGGTGAGTAGTAAAGCGGAGGTGGATTCCTGTTTTTCTAGAGCCAAGTCCCACACACCACTCATCATCTTTTAAGAAAGGACAGCTCAAAGGTAGGAATAACAAATATTTATTCAGAAATGGGTAACATATAGTCTCCTCCAACCCTTAATGTCTCTTCCTCTCCTTCCGAACAAGAGATACACGTGAGGAATGTGGAGGGGCGGCAGGTGGAGAGGGACACAAAGACCGACCCACTCCCCTTCTCTTCTGTTTCCCATGAGGAGGCCCTGTGGGGCAGGAAGGCCAACGGGCTCCACCCACAATGGGCCACGTGGCCGTCCGAAGGACCGGGTCCAGACGGCCAGGAGGCCGGGCCGGGCGCAGGGAACTCCGTGATGGCCGGAGCACCTGGCGGGGACTGGCGGTGCCGGAGGGGAGGGAGGGGAGGTCTACCCCACGCAGGCGGGAGATTTACCATCCCTGCTTGAAGCAGAGTCCAAGTAGTGATCCGACTGTCCCCAGTACCTGAAATACCAGGTCCTACTGCCTTGAGGGTGCTCATGGATCAAGAAGGGGAAAGTGGAGGAGGAAGGTCTTCCAGCTGCTGAGAAGGACTTAGTTTGCACCCATTCAAAGGGGGGAGAAGGGAAGAAAGGAACGAAAGCAGCATCCTTTAGAGAACTGGAAGCTGGGCACCGTCAGGTACACTCCTTGGACTCCCAAGGCCCGAGCAACCTCAGAGCCGGAGGGCTGCGCAGTGTTCAAGCCCGGGTCCTTCCTGCTTACCCACAGAATTCTGAAAACATGAGTTTCCAGAGTCGTCTTCACTGGGCTGCCCCCAAGCAGACCATGAAAGACTCTTAGTGTCTCAGGTCCCCTTTGCTCCCTAGACCTGTACCTTTCACAGCACCTGCCACGGGTTGAGTAGAGCTCCAGAGCCCTGCTGCTCGGCCCGCCCCGGCTCTGCCCGCCTGGAGTCCCTCGCAGTCCCACAAAGAACGCCCCTGGAGCCACGCCGTCCTGGTGCGCGGGGGCTGCCCCAACTGCCTGGCACCACGCTGAGGGAACACCCTACCGGCTGGCCTGGGAGGGCTGCTCTGCTCTCTCACCCGCCCCCCTCCCCACTGCCAGCACCACCCCTGCGCCCTTCACTGCCAGGACAGGAAAAGACCCCCCCCTCCCCGTCACAGACGGATGGCTTGCTCCCAACAATGCGAACAGCGCCCCTGGTGACGGCTGGACCTGTGCCCCTCTCAGCACCCTACTGTCCCGAAGGCATCTGAGGCCAGAAAGAAGAGGCAGGAGCAAGCCATTACCTCCCATCCAAACAAGCCCCAGACCCTCAGTGTAACAGAATAGCCAGACCTTTAAAAAAACAGAAAACCCAACTAGCAGAGAGCTGGCATTTGTACCCAAGCCGGGTGTGGGGAGCTCGTGCTGGGGGAGCTCTGGAGGGGGAGCATGGAGGGCCGCACGCCCCTCCCACAACAACACCCAGAAGCCTGAGAGCCGGGGAGGGGGACTTGGCATAACCCAAGGAACGGGGACCGCGAACTCGAGAATTTACCGAGTCCCCTGACACAGCACAGGCTCTCGAAACCAAGGGCCGGGAATGCTCTCCCCGGCGATACGGCAGCCCCCCGCCCCCGCCCTGCCACGGGCCCCCTCCAGAGCACACCGGCGCGGAGCCAGCCGTGGGGAGAGCACCCGGGCCGCCTGCAGTGGGCAGGCAGGGGAGCGGCCCGCTCCGGAGCGACCCAGCTTCCGTGAGGACGGCGGGGGCACCCGTTCCCCACCCTGTCTGAAAGGTTAAAAACGAGAAAGGGGAGGCAGCTCCTCACCTCCTGGGAAAAAAAAGTGTCCTTCAAAGAGGCCCTGCCCTGCCCTCCCCGGGGCCACATGAAGTCACCCAGAGATAGGGTATCGTTTTCAGACAAGGAATCAGTTCGGGGCTGCAATCAGGGGTAGACGCTCCAAGCAACACAAGCTACCTTGGTGATGAGGGCGAGGGAGGAGAGACAGACTAGAGGACACGTGAACGCACAGAGGGGCGCAGGGGAGAACACAACACAGAAAGGTGGGTTCCGTCCAGCGAGGAAGCTCTCCCCCCCTGGCGACCCTTCCCACGCTCAGGGGCCTCCAGTCCGACGGCCCGCTGGTCACAAGCTTTGCTTTAGGAGACAGAGCCACCCGCCTCTGCCCCTGCTTGCGGCTGCCTCGCGCCCCTGCTCAGAGTTTGATTTTGAATTCTGTGGGCTGTGTCGTCACAGAGGCCCCTGAGGACTTGAAGAGCGCTTTGAGGATGGTGTCGGGGTCCACTTCGGCAGGAGGGTTGGAGGCGGCGGTAGAATTCACCCTGCGAGGCAACTCACTCTCCTTTTTCACTGAGGGGCTGTCACTCAGCCGTCTGTGGAGAGCAGAGAAGAGTCATAATCGTCCTCAGTTCTCCCTCGGACGGGGAGGGAGCCCACCACTCACTAAGCAGGTTACGAAAGCCGGGCGCTGAATGTAACGCTCTCCGCACCCCTTGATCTCACTACATTCCGCAGCCCGTTGGGGTCGGGAGTTCTAGGTTTAGGAGACACTGCGTGTCCTTCACGGGTGTGGCCACACGCACGGATTTGGAGGAGTCTTGAAGTACAGAAATCGAATTCACTCCATTTAGTGCAATGGTTCCCAAACTTACTGGGTCACTAAAACCCACACTTTTTCAGAACACAACTTGTTCCTGGAATACAGCTTTAAAAACTTGTCCAAACCACACACTTACGGTTCAAATCCTGGTCCTTCTAAATTTCAGTGTCCGCCTGCCCGCCCCACTGACCTTGGCGAGTCTCATACCGTCCTGAGGCTTCTGTCTCCTCATCTATGAAAGGATGTCCTTCCAGGCTACATTTTATGCGTCCCAGGCTCTGAGAAAATCCTCAGTCCTGGACCAGACATGCATGCGCAGGTGTAAAAAAAAAAAAAAAAAAAGGAAAAAAAAACACAACAGTGCTGGCACCGGGTACGGTCTCCATCATGGTCAATGACAGGACCTGGAGTTATCCAATCACTTGGATGGTGCACACAGTTGTACAAAGAAGGACACAGGTGGCCCGCTCTCCACTTCCTTCTGAGGTATTTCTACATTATAAAGCGGAGGACAAGGTCGTCACACTAGCCTGTGGGGTCAACCCCTGCGGAAATGACAAGATGACTCCACAAAACTCAGCACTCCGACGGGCCACCCGCCATCAGAGCAGAGGAAACGGACCAGAGGAAAGCGGCGATGCAGGCAAGTTACCCGCGGAGGAGAGACAACCACACAGAGCAAACCAGGGGAAAAACTCCACTTTGTCCCCAGCACCACTGCCTTTGGAACTTACAGCAGAATGGGCTGGTCTGAGGTGATAACGTTCCCATTCATGTGAAGGTTGCACTTCATTGGCTGCCCTGAAAAAAACAAAAAAGAAAAGGCTCCGCCATAAGATTCGGGCCTGGGCCAAAGGCCGAGGGCTGCACCCACCGCCCGGGGAGGAGCGGCCGGGCTTTGGGGATCCCAGGCTGAGGTCTCCGAGGGAAACTGCAGCGACGACAGCACCAAAACGCACAGCGGCTAACGTTCCTTGCTTCAAGCAGGAGATGGGATCTGAAACTAAGCAGGACGCTGAACCCTGTGACGCAGTCGACACTTCTTTGTGAAGTAGTAAAGGAAAATGTTTACGTGATGAAACTAAGTGAAAAAAGAATTTAAAAGTGAATACACACATCTCTACTTCGTCTGTGAAGGAGTAGCTGCTGCCAGTGCTGCACTGCTGCTCGGCACACTACTCGCCCTGCAGCCACACACAAACAACGGGGGAGGACGGAATAGAGCCGCACAGACGGAACATTTTTAATTTTTTTAAATGTTTTTTATTTATTTCTGAGAGAGAGAGAGAGACAGTGTGAGCAGGGGAGGGTCAGAGAGAGAGGGAGACACAGAATCTGAAGCAGGCTCCGGGCTCTGAGCTGTCAGCACAGAGCCCGACGCGGGGCTCGAACCCACGAACCGCGAGATCATGGCCTGAGCCGAAGTCGGATGTTTAACTGACTGAGCCACCCAGGCGCCCCAGAGGTAACATTTTTATATCTCACTAGAATTCGGTATTAATCTAAAACAGACTCTGATAAGTTATAACAAATACCATAAATCCTTGAGCAGCCATGAAGATAGTGACTCAAAAAATACGACGAAAAAATTTTTAAAGGAACTAAAATGTCACACTAGAAAATATTCATGTAAAAAAAAAGCCACATTAAGTGTGAATGGATTAATTAATCCAATCAAAAGGCAGCAATGGTCAGACTGGACTTAAAAAAAAAAAAACAAAATTCAACGATGTGAATGTCTCTATAGGAGACAGACCTTAAAAAGGTTGAAAGTAAAATGATGGAAATAAACATATTACACAAACAGCAACCCTAAGAAGCTGAAGTGGCTATACTAATATAAGACAAAACAGACTTTAGAACAAATCTGTTACCTAGAGACAAAGAGGAACATTTTGTAATGGTAAAAGGCCAATTCACTAGGAAGAAAACAATTATAAACATAAATGCAACTAAGAGAGCTTCAAATACACAAAGCAAAACTAACAGAATAAGTAAACAATAATAGCTGAAGATTTCAACAGTTCACTTTTTTAAAAAATTTTTTATATTTATTTATTTTTGAGAGAGCGAGCGAGCGAGCGAGCAGGGGAGGGGCAGAGAAGGAGACACAGAATCCAAAGCAGGCTCTAGGCTCTGAGCTGTGAGCACAGAGCCTGACCCGGGGCTCGAACCCACGAACCGTGAGATCATAACCTGAGCCAAAGTCAAACGCTCAACCGACTGAGCCACCCAGGCGCCCCAATAGTTCACTTTCATTAACGGATACAATAAGCAGGCAGAAGACCAACAAGGAAACAGAAGATTATAAGTCAACTAGACCTAAGAGCCATCTACCAGCAGCAAAATACATATTCTCTTTGAACACTTCTGGAAGAGAAGGAAATCTGGCTAATTCACAAATATATGAAAATTAAACAAAACAATCCTAAATAACCAACAGGTCAAAGAAGAAATCCTAAGGTGAATACTCCAATACTCAGAAAATACTCCAAGGTGAATGAAAATAAAGACACAACATATCAGAATGTATGGGATGCAGCTAAGGCACTGCTTAGAGGAAAATATATACCTATAAATGCATACATTAAAAACAAGAGTAAAAAGACAATCTACTGAGTAGGAGAAAATATTGGCAAATCACTTAGCTGATAAGAGACATATTAAGAATATATAAAGAATTCTTGTAGGGGTGCCTGGGTGGCACAGTTGGTTAAGCATCTGACTCTTGATTTCAGCTCAGGTCATGATCTCAGGGTTCATGGGATTGAGCTCTGTATTGGGCTCTGTGCTGACAGCGCAGAGCCTGCTTAGGATTCTGTCTCTCTCTGCCCCTCTACCCCGCCCCTCAAAATAAATAAATAAGCATTAAAAAAAAATTCTTTTAAACTCAAATAAGTGGGCAAATGGTCTGAATAGACAGTTCTCCAAGGCATATGAATGGTGAATATGCACATGAAGATTCTCAGCATCATTCACCATGAGGGAAATGCAAATCAAACCCCCAGCAACTGTATCATATTAGTCTCTGCAGCAATGTATTCAATAAATGTACAAATGTACTCAACAAACACTGAAAGAACAAATCAGTGGAGGAAGAGAGGCATGGCAGGCAGAGCTTCTCTCTATAGGCTAGCTAATCTGAGATAAATACTGTGACTCTGAACTCGGTAAAATCAGTAACTTACTCCCTAGGAGCAGAGCTCACCGAGGCTAACAGACAAGGCTCCAGGCCTTTGAGGAACCTGTTTCTTAGCCGTAATCACACCAACATCTGAAAGGAGGAGGCTAAGACTCCTGGCTTCCCCAGCAAGGTCCCTTAAGAGAACTTTCCACGGAGAAATGGGGTTTCTCTGCTTGCTAGAGTTAACTACTAGAGCTGCGTGAAGACCTACCCAACAGGCAGCCCAGGGGACCGCACATCCCTGCCTGTTCTCGGTGCACAGGAGATCCCAGAGGAATGAACGAACCAGAAGCCCTCCTCCCCACCCCCCATCTCAGAGGAAGCCCTACAGCCGCGAGCAGCAGGGAGGTGAGGTGGCTGCTTTCTCCTGGACTTACCATCCAAACACCTGTTGTTATACTTCTTATATGCTGTAATGGCATCATCCTTCTTCACAAAGACCACCTCTGCTACCCCAGGATGGACCAGCCGAGCCCTTTTGAGGGCTCCACACACACAGAAAAGCTCCTGCGAAGAACAAGGGGGTCAGCGTCGTAGGGGAACGTGGGGGCATTACCTTGCCTGCCTGCCATTCACACACCCCAGAGAGCTCTGGGTAGCCCGGTGGCTGCATTCCAGTTGGGCGCCTGCCCGGGGCCAGGATTTCAGGGAGGCGCCATTTCAGGTGGTGTTCCTGGGATATCCCCGGGCCTCTCAGTGTGGGAGCAGAGGAGACAAGCTGAGCTAGCAGCTAGAAAAGGCTCCGGGCTTATAAGCCTCGGAGTCCCCGTGTCCTTCAGCAAGGCATCCCCAAGTCCTCCTGCTTCAGCACCCACCGTCTCAACCAGGATAACAGAGAATTTCTGAGAGCTCTGTCATGAAAGGGGACGTGTGGGCTCATCGAAGGGAGTGGTTAGCGTGTCGCCTGGGAACGTGCAAGTTACTTAACTTCTCTGACAATGAGTTTTCTGTTGGGAACAAAAGAAAAGGAATGGCCTCGCCTACTTCGCAGGGTTGCTGAAAGCCCAGCCGCAGGGCAGTGCTCTGCACACGTGTGTTACCGCCAGCACTGTGTCCTCTGACCCCGCATCGGGTCTTACAGAGCAGGTGAGGAGAGCGGGGACATGGAGATGGACCGCGGAGGCCGACTCGCACCCACGCCATTTCTTCACTCATTATTCCCTTTGCAAGGTTGTTAAGAGAACAAAAAGGCTTACGAAAGTCATGCGGATGATTGTTTTTTGTTTTTTTTTAATATTTTTATTTATTTCTAGGAGAGAGAGAGAGAGAGAGACAGCGCGAGCAGGGGAGGGTCAGAGAGAGAGGGAGACACAGACTCTGAAACAGGCTCCAGGCTCTGAGCTGGCAGNTCCAAAGTGGCCTCTGAGCAGAGAGCACAGAGCCCGACGCGGGGCTCGAACCCACGAACCGCGAGATCATGGCCTAAGCGAAAGTCGGACGCTTAACCGACTAAGCCACCCAGGTGCCCCTCGGATGATTTGTTTTTAACGATAAAGCTGAAAATGTTAAATTCCCAAACCAAAACGTGGAACTGAATACGAAATGTGACCCCCATTTTATTACTGCTGTGGTGGCCACCACAGGAGGTCAGCTCCCACCACTCTGGATTTCCAAAGAGCCCGCGTACAAAGTACATGCCACATAGCAAGTGCTCAACAGGGGCGCCGGGGGCTGTTGGGGAGGCATCACCATCTCACGGCCGTGGGATGGAGCCCAACGTCGGGCTCCGTGCTGACAGTGCCAAGCCTGCTCTGGACTCTCTCTCCCCGCCTCCCCCTGCCCTTCCCCAGCATGTGCACACATATCCTTCTCTCTCAAAATAAATAAATAATCTTAAGAAAAAATAAAATTAAAACCAAAGCGAGTAAGTGCTCAATAAATGGTAGCTGTCGCTACTTTTATAAACAGGAAAAAATGTTTTAATTCCTCATTAATTTGTGAAGAATTAGGCAAAGTAGCCTACAACTTCCACCGCGTGTACCATTCACTGCTGAGCCTGCCTCCTTCCCAAAACTATCACGCAGCAGTCACGTTTCACAACTGACACCGCTGTCCAGTGTGGCGGCCACTATGACAGTTACTGAACGTGGTGCAGTCATTCCATGATCTGGCAGTTCACAGCTAAAGGGGACCTGGATCTTTAAATTAATGGTGGTTTTTGGGGGCCCAAATGAAAACGAGGTACACAAGCAGTGCTGGCTGCAGCTGGCTGCCTGCTCACCGGGTTTAGGTTCTGTCTGTGAGCCAAGGGCGGGGCAGGGCAGACCAGGGCGATCCGGACAAGCCAACCACCAGGTAAGACCAACCCACCCCATTCCCTGTACTTTGGAATCGTCACAAAATCCCTAGAGGAGGCAGAAGCTCCAAAGACTCATAGGAAGACAGGAACCACGGGACTGTACCCCACGGAACAGGGGGGTCTCCTCCAAGACCCGCCCAGCGCAGTGCCCCGGCCCTGATTTCGAGGCTGCGAAAGGCAGAGGTGACCCAGCTGGCCCGACTGCTATCTTCCCAGACCCCTGCTTCCGAGGCTGCATCCTGGCTGGTGTCCGGGAGCTCGGAATCCGGGAGGGCTCCCACCACCCTAGTCGGTAAGGGTGGTTCCACTGGGCCTACGCTGTGCGAACAACATGGTTTATGGGGAACACCGCCTTCCTCTGGGGCATCTGGCGGAGGAAGCCAGACATTTGCACCTGGATCCCCCAGCCTTTGCCCCATGAGTCTTTCCCTTCGCTGATTTTGCTTTGGATCCTGTACCAAATCTGAGGCCTGACGGGACTATGCAGAGTCCTGTGAGTCCTAACTAGCAAACCTGGCGGTGGTCTTGGGGACCCTTGACACAGAAGTGGTTTGAGACAGAATGTCCGGCAGGAAACAGTACTCACCACAATGTCCTCCTCAGTGACTCGAGGGTGCAGATTGTTCACGGTCATCTTGGTGCCTTCCAAAGGGCTGAGGACAGGCTGCCAGACAGGACAGTTGCCGTAAGTCAGACAACAGCAGCACGCGCTCTGGGCCAGCTCCAGGAAGGCCCAGAGGACCCCCCCGGAGAGCCCGCCACCATCATGCCCTCCACCCTACGCCAAGGGCTGGAACCTCTCATCTCCCAGACATGCCAGACGCTGTCAGGCCTCTGACCCTCTGCACGGAACGCCACTTGTGTTTCAAGACCCACCCGGCTCAGGTACCACCTTCTCCTTGAAGCCCTCCCCGCTTGACCAGGGGATCAAATGCTCTTTGCTCAGTGCTCCCCACAGCTTTCCTCTTGACAGATCTCTGTTCTGTCACCAGACAAAGCTGCTCTGTCTGCAGCTCTGTCCTCCCCACTCGCCTGCAAGCATCTGGAGGGCAGGGGCCGCTGGGTCTTGACTTGCTCATTTGTAAAGTGGGAGGTGGCAAGGTCTGCCGACCTCACGGAGGTGTACACGACACACCGCCTACCCAGCATGGGCTGACTCTCAACTCTCCCCTTCACCCTCCCCTCACCTCAGAAGGCGGCAGCTCTTTGGGGGGCTCCTCCTTGTTCACTAGCGTCCGAGACATGCTGGTCAAGGCTTTTGTTCGAACAGAGGAGGGGAGGGCAGGAGCTGTGTACACGTCATTCTGAACCACTTTGGTGAGAGGGAGGGCCTTGGACACGGAGAACTTGGAACTGCTCAGCCCGGCCTAAACAACAAGGCAGACAGGAATCTGAGGGGCTAGAGAAGAAGGGGAGAGAGAAGCCCCAAGGGGCTCACAACCCCCACCCCCGAGCCCTCCCAGCCCCCCAACTCCATTAGAGATCTGGAGCCAAAAAGGTTGCCAGTGAGTTCCCCCAAGGAATGGGCGGGAGGGGAGAGACACAGTTTGTGCTCACAGAAGCCACTCTCTAGCGCAGGAAGTCCTTGGCGAGAAACTGCCATGCAGGCCTGATCCGAAGCCACGGGCCTACCCATACCATTTAGACTTTATCCAAGAAAACCCTACAATTTGAGGCTAATCAGAAGGCCAAAAGCTTAGGGGTCAAGTTCATTCCTAGACGTGCTTCTCACACAATGGGGCTGACTATCAGCTCTGGGCTGGGCAGGCATAAGACCCACTCTTAAGAGGGCCCAGACTCCCAGCTCTTTGGTCCCCGTTTCAGCCACAGCTGAAACCACGCAGAGCCCTGGCCTTATCAGCTCCCGGGCTGGCAGGGACACGCTGCCAGTGTTGGCACGTGCAGACCAGCAGACGCAGCCTCTCCCTCCCTGCGACCCCCGACTGGGGATGTGGTCCCGTGGAAACAGAAGCCAGCAAAGTCCCGGGTGTTAACGAGTCTGAGCAAAAAGACGTAGGACGCAGAACGGCAGGGTTGATTCACCAGCTTCTCTGAATCAATGACGTGTCCCCTTGTGTCCCACGCCACATTCCCCAGCTGCAGTCTGAGAGCCGGTGCAGCGGTTTACACGCGGCCTGGGAGCTGGCCTGCCTAAGCTTGAATCTCAGATCCACTACCTGGAACCTGGGAGATACTGAGCATATTTAACCTCCCTGTGCCTGATTCCTCATCTGTACAACAAGAATGATGGCAGAAACCATCTCACCAGGTGAGCGGGAGGAGTCTTAAACTTTCCGCACGAACACTGCACAGTCTCAATCAGGGTGAGCCGCGAACCGAGCCAGCGGACACACCCCCTGGTCGCAGACCTCAGCAGTCTACCCAGGGCAAGGCCCAGGCCCTCTAACAAATCGGTCTCACTGAGCTTCACGCGTCACTTTAAGAACTTCAATGGCAACCAGGACATGGGTCCACACGTTCAACACAGCGACAGAAACGGAGTCTTTGGGTCTCTGAAGGCCACACGAAGGCACTCGGCCCGGGTGCCCGCTGGCTGCCCTCCGTGCACCTGGCTATGCCCGCTGATGCCAGCCTCCCCGCTCTGCCCAGACGCGGCTCTCTTTGCTTCTCTGCACGGAGTCTGACCAACACCCTCGGCCACCAAGCTTGCCCTGCAAGCAGGCGGCACCTGGTGGTACAGACAAGGCTGGTTTTTCTTGCTAACAAATACACTGGCCGAGGGAGTCCGGTTTCAAAAATGGACCTGGAGCTGCTGACTGTGGAGGGAAGGAGAACACGCACATCATGCCACAAAGGAAAGAAAACCGGACTCCCTCCCGTGCGATCTCATGTTTCCCGCGCACTTCACTAGCTGTGGGACCTTGAACATGATCACCGGCCATCCTGGTCTCAGCATTTATAAAACCAGCCACTGGATTAGTTCCAGATCTAATAACCTTAGGACCCAAATGAAGAAAGATTTCTGAACTGAGAGGCCGTACACTCTCGACCACATCTCCCATCCACCCGATCAGACACATGCGGCGAGTACAGAAAACAGCATAAAACGCCTTACTACGTGGTGGAGAAAGCCGCCCGAGGCTGCAAATCTCATCTGTTTACTGGGAACGGGAGCTACAGCGTCGTCATCTTCCTCCAGGTCATATAAGTTCTGAAAAGAAAGACAGAATCGCTAACACGGCCTGCGGGCTCTCAAAACACCTTTGGAGCTGACTGATGGACGGAAAAGCAGGTGCAGGGGGGGGGTGCCTGGGGAGACTGGCTTGGGAGGCCAGGGTTCAAATCCTGCCAGGCTGCCTCCTCACCCACAAGGGCCCCAGAAAAGTGCACCGACCTCCGGGTACAGGAGAATTTCCTCTCCACAAGCCAGCAACACCTAGAAACACTTAAAGCATTTGTTTACAATCTCAGCTTAGAAAGTCCATCCCAGGCAGTCCGGCCTACGGAAATGAATCCAAACCCTAAAAAGAGCTCTAGCCACAAACATGTTCATAGCAAAGGATTTCTAACAGTGAAAATGATAGAAAAATGGCTTAAATAAACTGGAACACCAACGCAATGGACTATGCAGTTACTAAAAATATTTACAGTAAATGTGAATCAGAGAAGCACTTGCATTATAAAGTGCAGACAGAATGACACAAAATTGGATGATAATATAGCCACAACCACATCTATGCGTTAACTAAACAATAATGACACTTAAAAAAAAAAAGAAAGAAAAAGGAACTAGGGTAGAATTTCAACAGCGGCTGGCTTTGGAGAGCATGACCAAGAGGGACTTTTTTCCCCTTTTTAATCTTTCTTTATTTTTCAGTGTTCTGTATTGAGTACATACTACTTTTTTTTTGTTTGTTATTTATTTTGGGTTTTTTTTTTTTTTTTAAATGTTTTATTTATTTCTAGGAGAGAGAGAGAGAGAGAGAGAGACAGCATGAGCAGGGGAGGGTCAGAGAGAGAGGGAGAAACAGAATCTGAAACAGGCTCCAGGCTCTGAGCTGGCAGTCAGCACAGAGCCCGACGCGGGGCTCGAACCCACGAACCGCGAGATCATGACCTAAGCGAAAGTCGGACGCTCAACCGACTAAGCCACCCAGGCGCCCCTTTGTTTGTTATTTTTGAGAAAGACAGAAAGAGACACAGAGCACAGGAGGGGGAGGGACAGAGAGAGAGAGGGAGACACAGAATCCGAAACAGGCTCCAGGCTCTGAGCTGTCAGCACAGAGCCCAATGCAGGGGCCAAACCCATGAACGGTGAGATCATGACCTGAGCTGAAGTTAGACGCTTAACTGACTGAGCCACCTGGGCGCCCCGCACATACCACTTTTATAATAAAGATAAGAGACTTTGAGTTTGCCTCTCTGTGCCTTACATACTCACCCCCCACCCCACTATAAGAAGTTTCTTTTTAAAAGTCATAAGCTGCCAAAAGCTAACCGTAATCTCTCCAATTCTTCACATTGGGAACCCGGGGCCAGGCCTCTGTCCATCCACTCAGCAGAGCCCATCAAAACACGCACGTGTGCACAAACACATCTGTGCACATACACTCACACGTGCACACGCACTCTCTCACCTGCTTAGCCGGGTGGTTATTGACAACGTTGATCCTCATCCCAGCGGGATGGGTGTGAAGGGGTGCCATGGCCTTCTGCTGTGGGACCTAGAAACACCCAGAGATCAGAATTCACCCCCTGGGTCCACACGTGTCCTCCGTGCATCAGGAATCACTGAACCTGAAGTGCGGAGGCGCTCAGTTTTGGCCTGTGGTAAAAAAACCCTGGGGAGTGCCTCCCGTGCAAAGCGGGAGTGACGGAAAGTCTCGTCGTCCTGCCCGACGGGCCTGGCTCAGAAACTCCGCAGCTGCTGCTCCTGTCACCAAGGTGGCTGCGGAGGCTGAAGGGTACTGTCTCCCTGCCCCAACTGTGCCCTCGGCCAGGGCGGGCACGAGGAGCCAGGGCGGGCGCGCTCCTACCCCGTCCTCCCACCCGCCAGCTGTATTAGCTCTGGGCACCAGAAGTCACATCTCTGACACCTCGAGTCTTCTAAGACGGGGTACTGATCCCGGAGTCACAGAAATAAGTAAGATCACAGGTGGAGGTGCCCGCCACACAGCAGGGGCCCCACTGCGGCGTCCTCTCCCTGCCCCCACCCACTAGCTCACCTGGAGCGTCACGCACTTCTGCTGCAGCCCCCGCGCCTCTCAACGACACTAGCTGAAAGCCTCACCTCCCTCCTGTGGTTACTCTACAAACACCGGGGAGAAACGGTCATTTTGCCCAAACACCCTTGGCCCCCCCTCCCTGGCCGGACCTACAGCTGTTCCTGGCTTCCCAGGAATGTACAAGAGCCACACCTACCTGGATGGTTTTGGTGAGCTTCAGGGCAGGGGTCACTGTCCCGATGGGCGGGCTCATGAAGGCGGCTGGGGAGTTCCGCTTCAAGCTGATCTTCTCCCGGGCGTCGGCCACCTGGCGGGCCTTCTGGGGCACCGCGCTCTGCTGCTTGCGGGAGTTCAGCATCTCCCTGGCATCCTGCACCTTCCCTTTGATCCGGAACCGAGCATCTTTCTGCAAAAGCTTTTCCCGGGCATCCTTGACTCCCAGCTTGAGCCGGGCATCCGCGAGGCCAATCTTCTGCCGGGCATCAAACCTCTGCTGGAAGGTGGCCGTGCGTGCTGGCGGGCTGAGAAGGCTCTGCTGGGCCCCAACACGAGACCGAACACCTCCGACTCCCGGTCTGGCATTGAGACTGCAAGTATGAATTGCACAGTAAATGGACCTGCATGTCAACAGCAGCCCATGGAAGTAGAGCCACGGTAATACTGGGGGGGTGGGGGGTGGGGTGGGGGTTCCTGGAGAACCGGAAATCTGCTCGCTGTCTGAGGAAACAGGCCTATGTTCAAACTTCTTTCCTAGTTCATGGCGTGTACTTTGCATTGCAAATAAAATTCGGAAGAAGGGCCTGGCAGTTTCTATCACTAGGTAACACTGGTTTGCAACCCAGACCAGGTGTTCTGAGATGTCATTAGGGACAATAACCTCCAAGTGATGCCAGTCCCCTCCCCGCAAAAAAAGGCGCACCCCCCCAAATGTTCTAACCCCACACAGGGGAAGAGCAACTTGAGTTTCCCAAGTTCTTCACAGGCCTGCTCTCAATCAGCCCTCTCAGCACCCTGTGAGGTGGGTCAAACAGGCTTGGAGAGGTTAAATGATAAACAAAAGGAACCAGCCTGCCTTTGGTGGTCCAGGCCTCCAGGGCCAGCACAAGATCCCCCCTGCGCTGGGAGCAGGAGCCGGCCCCCTAACAGGTAGAAGAGAAAAATAGCCACTCCGTCTGAATTGTTTCCACTAACACTTCTGACACCAAAAGTGTGGGTGTTCTCAAATCAACCCTTCACAAACTTTAGTGTAGACACCACCTGGTGTCCTATAATTCAACTCTGACACAACACACCCAGAGTCTGTGCAGACACCACACATCATGGGCTCTGTCCCACAGACTGCTGTCACTTCAGATGCCAGTCCCAAGCCCTGGGCTTCCCATACTTCTGACAGACTGGCTAAAATTGATGGGACCCACGTCCCCCTCCTCAAGTTCGATAATTTGCTAGAATGGCTCACAGAACACAGCAAATACAATTTATGTACTACTGTTAGTTTATTATAAAGGATATGATTCAGTAACAGCCAAATGGAAGAGATGCGTAAGGTGCAGGGGAAGGAGTGTGGAGTTTCCACGCCCTCTTGGGGTGCACCACCCTCCCAGCACATACATGTGTTCACCAGCCCAGAAGTTCCCCGAATTCCACTCTACAGGATTTTTTAAAAAAGGGATTCCATTATGTAAGCAAACCTGATTGAATCTCTGGCCATTGAAGACTGATTCCGTCTTGGGAAGGGGGGGGGCGGGGGGCTGCAAGTTCCAACTACCCGTGCCTAGGTCGTCCTGGTGACCAGTTCCCATTCTGAAGCTAGCCAGGTAGCCAGGGATCCAGCAAGAGCCACCTCCTCAGAACAAAAGATGCTCCTACCACCCTTATAACTCAGGAAACCCCAAAGGTTTTAGGAACTGCGTTCCAGGAACCAGGGATAAAACCAAGTACGGGTCCGTCACACTCTGCAACAAGAATGTCAAATCCAGAAACTGTTAAAATTGGAAGTGAACTGAACTCCATTAAACAGGCCCCATTTGCTTGTGGGGTTCCTCTGTTGACCCTTCAGCGGCTCAAGAGTGGAGAGAGGACTCCCCGAAGTTCAATCCCGGAAGTCCTTCCTGGGGCCTGCGAGCTTCTCCTCCCCCACCTGCCCACCACACCATGAGGCCCGCACAGGGTGCCCTGCCTGGGACTCGGGCCCCCAAGGCAGCATCTCCCTTACAGGAACCCTCCGCTCTGATTCTTGCAGGACAACCCTCCTCTGTGCCTCCAACTCCACCTGCTTGTTTTCCCCACTGGGCTGGGAGGGGAGAACGGGGCTCGTTCTGTTTCAGAGCCCAGCGCTTTATAAGCAGTGCTGAACGCTGGCTGAGTGTTGGAAACTCCACGGAGCTGTTTAAAAACAGCTGTCTGGACCCCATCCTCAGCTACTAAATCCAAAATCTGGGTGAAGGCCTGGGCATCTGCACGTCTGGCTCCACAGGTGGGCCTGCGTTACAGACAGCAGGGTTTGGAATCTCTGACCTGGTGGTAGAAGGCAAAACCCTACCAAACAAACATGTTCCCGGACGGCCTCTCACATGTGTGTCCAGGCCTCCCAGGAGGCCACCTGGGAACTGTCCCCCCGCCCCCACGCTCACAGCAGGAGCGTACCCAGAGAAGGAGCAAAGGCAAGTCTGGACCTTCCTCCAGATCTCCTGGCGGAAACACGCCAGCTGCGCCAGAACACGGCCTGGGGCCGCGATGCACGGACCATTTTTCTTTGAAAAACAGCACATTACTTTAGGATTGAAATACCTTCCAGTGGGTCTATCCAAGACCTGGGTGGAAGGGAGGGGGAAGGATCATTTACAGAACTGATGAGATTAGGTTTAAGGTGGGGGTGGGGCTGCTTGCCCTCCCTGTCAGGTTTTCTCCTATAGAGGGGGATTAAAACAACAACAAAAAACTAAGGTCAAAAGGGCTGGGGTGCTGGGGCGCCTGGGGGCTCATTCCGTTAAGTGTCTGGCTTCGGCTCAGGTCATGATCTTACAGTTCGTGGGTTTGAGCCCTGCGTCGGGCTCTGTGCTGACAGCTCAGAGCCTGGAGCCTGCTTCAGATTCTGGGTCTCCCTCTCTCTCTGACCCTCCCCTGCTCACGCGGTCTCTCTCTCTCTCCTAGAAATAAATAAAACGTTAAAAAAAAAAAGGGGGGGGCGCTGGGGTGTTTAGGGAGGCGAGCAAGCACGACTAGGGAGAGAAACAGCTGCATGTGGCAGACAGCACCCACCCTACCCCGGAGTGGCCTACCCTCAGGTTCTTGGTCACTGAAACCCACGGCTACTTGAGAGGCCCCTAGTGTTCATGGAGGGAACACCACACGCTTCCTCGTAAAGCCCTACCCCTGGCCCAACTAGCAGGTGAGGTTAACCACACTGTTTTTGTTGTTTTTAACGCTTTCAGCTCCCTACATCTCCCTACATCCATCAAAGAAAAGCAACAGGCTATCAGTTCAGACCAGGAGCCACTACTGAAGGGCTACTCATAATATGGGGAAAAGGATTTTGATCAACATTTACTGCCCAGATACAGGCGGAACCAGTGTCAGTGGAAAGCACTCCAGATAAAACTGTTTGCTTATCACACACGGGATGGGACCTCTCCGAAGCCAGAGGCAAAGGGAATCAAGTCACAGGAAGAGCATGGTGAAGAGCACTCCTGCTCTAGGAGAGGAAGGTTCGTCTGTGGGGACACCGAGAGCCACCCGGCACACCTGTGGGGCAGCGAGAAGACTTAGAGGGGGCCCGGGTGTTTGGGAAGAGCAGATGGTGTCAAAGGTCACGTGAACAGCCCACAGCCTGTAGCCTCTCGGCTCTCTCGCAGCTCTGGAGGGTTCCCTGGTTCCTGCCCTTGGCCCTGGAGAGCCCTCCCTCTTTGGGGGTGGGTCAAGCTCGGAAGTTAAGCTGAATCACAATGACCTGTTCACAAGTCCCCACGGCACCCGGGGGGGGGGGGGGGGGAAGAAGGCTCAAAGAGCTTTCAGGTCCTGAGCTCCTGGCAAGTGTCAGGGACCCTACAGCCCTCCCATGCCCAAACACTCTCCTTCCCCACTCACACCTGTGAGAGTTAGGTTATTATCCACATTTCGCAGGTGAGAATGTCCTGGTGAAGGCTGGGCTTCGCTGTACTTAGTTAAAGCACCAAGCATGGGTCAAGGCTAACGACCAGAAATTGAAGAGTTAGCCCGTCCCAGGCTAAGGGAAATCTTCGGCCTCCGGGCCCATCCAGCACACTCTCGAGTGGCCAGGGGGCGAGCGCATGCACGCACACACACGCCAAGCATGGCGTGCTCACTCGGGCCCCAGCCCCACCCTGCCCGTCTGGCAAGAAAGGCCACTGAGATGCCTTGTGCCGGTCTTTTTATCTATGTGAACAGCAAAAGGTCCATCGGGGAGGAAGGAGGGGATGTAGCGGTGGATGTGGGAGCGGGAGAGAGCTACCTCCCCCGTCCCCTGCTCCCCACCCCCGGGCCTTTCAGCTCCCTTCCCAGCAGCGTCGGGCCTCCAGTGTGCAGGCTGGTTGTAATCACCGCCCCTCCTCCTGCATCAAAGGACAGCCATTCATCCCCAGCGGGCGGCAGCGCTGGGTACGGGGCAGGCATTAGTCATCAGGAATTTTTCAAATAAACACTCCCGCTAGGTCTGGGTCTCCAACACACAGAGTCAGGTGGCATTACCCTCCTCTTCCAAGAGCCGCCGAGGGCTCCCTAACAAAGCCCAATGCCTCAGCGGAGCCTCCGGTCTGGCCCCCGCTTCTGCCCGCAGCCTCACCTGCCACCGCAGACTCGCCGAGGTTCCCGAAACAATCCTGCACTTTTGGCCTCAGTACTTGTTGGAGAGAAGGGGCGGGGGAGGTTTTGAGCAAGACTCTGAACTCTGAACTGTCCCATCCATCTCACTGAAAGGCTGCAACTCTGCCCGGACTCCGGAGCGCTCCCCCTCCCCCCAGGAACTCCTCCAGGCCCTGGCGAGAGCGCTGTGAGGGAGGGCCAATGCCCCCCTGGAATCTCAGTGCCTCCCCCAGACCACAAGGGAGCCTGGGCACTCTACCCCACATCCTGACCAGAGCTGGCTCTGGACAGATGTCTTGTCCAAAGGATTCGGGCCCATTAGCGGGGCCCTGGATTCTTAGTATAAAGTGGATTTTAATCCATGGAACATCTGTGTCGAGGTCATCTTTATATGGAGAAAACAATTTAGTTCTGTTACACACCAGTCAATTCTGAATTAGGTGCTTTACAGACACAGAGAAACAAGACACCGTCCCCTTACCCTCCAAGAGAGTCTCGTGCAGATGTTTTGTTTTAAATCACAATTCTTCCCCCGCAAGTTACATAACCACTAACTTTCGTTCTCTTTGGTTCAGGTCTACATTTCCTTTATCTTATTTCAACCAGGAAACAAACACGGAGTCACAGGACCAGAGCCCGGGCCTGAACTGAGAAGCTGACCAACCCCCCCCTTCCATAGGGCTCCCCAGACAGGGCATCTGGCCCAGAGCTGCTCAACCCCAGCACACTCAAGGTCCAACCGCCTCACTAAGGCTGCCCGCCACCTTAGATGTCCTTCCCTAACCAGGAAGCGTCAGTGGACGGACAGAGCTAAACTAATCAGACCAGGGAGGGCGACTTTGCTAATGTGACCAGCACTATGCTCACATCTTAAGGGGAAAAACAACCAGAGGAACAGGCCTACTGTTGTCCGGGGGAGACTCAGCCATGGGTCCCGAGCGACCAAAGGAGGTCACCAGGGAGTGCTGTGCACAGGGAAGGCCAGTGCCTCGCCATGGCTGAGTGAGGTGTCATCCTCTCCTTTCTCTATTTTCACAGTAATCATGGAGATCTTTTGATGATTAATGGGGGTCCCAGTAATAATGATAAGGACGCCTTTTGTGGCTTACAAGGTGATGAACCCAAAACCAAAAGGACGCTCTAAAGAATAAGCACATCCCATGACCTGTGGGGAAAGAGGTGATTTACATTTCCACGGGTTCTTCTGCTATTTCCACGAAGAGGAAAAAAGTTTTCGGGGATAGTCACAGGTTCTACCTAAACCATCAAGCACAAAGTTCTTCCGGGGGGCTCCATTCCACAGTTCCCAGGAAGGGGAGAGTTCTTCCAGTAAGCATGTAAGAAGAACACAGTTACAGTAGGAAATGATGTTTGTTCACTGAAGTAAGCTCAGACCTTTAGGCTCCTGACAGGGACAACCTGACTGTAGTTTTTGTTGGCTTTGTAAGTAAAATAAAAATGAAGTTTCCACCAGGCTTAATCCAAACACAGCCCGCATACTAGTCTCTGTCTGCACGGTCCCCATCCAATCTTCACATAACAGCAAAGCAATATTGTCTCACATATTGTCACACAAAACTGGATATTACTTCTTTACTTAAAAGCCTTGGATGACAATGGCTATAGCTAACACGTATTGAGCACTTAGGACCATCAGACACTTTTAAAGTACTTTAGACATATTGATTCACTTAGTCCTGACAATCACCCAACAAAGTAAGTATCGCCCACATTTTATGAGAGGTATGGAATGGTTAAGTAACTTGCACAAGATCACATGGAAAGTCAGAGAAGGGAATTGAAACTTCACAATTTGACTTCAAGGCTCCAACATTTACCTACTGCCCATCCGATGGGGGAGGGGTTTGGGCATCTACTCCTTTAAGAAAAGATCCTCGATAATTGCCAACATTAGCTGAACACTTACTACCTGGTACAAACTTAAAGATATACATGTTTATATTCTACCTAATCTTCTCGACAACCTGCCGGGAACCATTCTTACAAACTGCCCAGCTCAGAAGTCATCTCACCAGGGAGGCAGAGAACCCAACAATGGGCCCAGAGAGCCCACGTCCTGCTCTGGTCACATACAGGTCTTCATCCCATGGATCCCCCTCCCCCAATGCCCAACGTGAGACTCTGCACGGATGTGTGCTAAACAAGTACAGACCCAACAGACAGTACAGCTGGCCTGCAGTCGGGGCTGGGGGGGAGTGAGGGCATGACAGTGTGTCCTGGGAAACTGGTTCATTCAGGAACTGTGCAGCAAACCTATGAAACCCAGGCAGATGCACGAGGGGCCAGAGGATCCAGCACCAATTCCACACCAGAAATTAGAGGGGAAGACCTAGGAGAGAACAGCTGCACAAATTAGTACTTCCTGTGTGCCTGCTGTGCAGGAGAAGCCAGGTGAAGAGCTGGCTGGTGATTCAGCGGAGGAGGGAGCAGGTGGAGTGGATATGGCGGGGTGGGGGCTCCCTTTCAGTTAGCAACAGCAAGGATCTAGTTTCCAGCCACAGGCACCTGGGGGCCTGTTAACCAAACAATATCTACCATCTCACAGCCAGTTTAGGAAGACACCTGAATTGGTGCTGGAGAACTGTGGGCCCCGTTCCCACTTCATACACTGAGCTGGAGCCCATAAAGGCTGCAAAGGACTAACAATATTTAAGGGTCCAGAGGAAGTTTGGGGCACATCACTGCAAATCGTCTCCTCACTCGGATCCAGAACGGTCCACTCTGACAACTGGGAGCTCCCACCACCAAGAAGCCCTAACCTCCAGCCAGTCCCACCTGTTTTTTCTGCCCAAGCCTGAGGCCAACTGAGCCAGCTCCTAAAGGACACTCAAGCCCCGATCCTCGGCTCTTAGTGGCCTCGGGCAAGTCTCTCTAGCTCTCCCGGCCTCAAGCTCCTCCTCTGCAAAATGGGGGAAATATTAGTTCCTGGCCGGCACCGTTGCGAAAAGAGCAAATGGGGCAGGAGGTACTTGAAAGCGCTCGGAGAACTTGAAACGCCGCACTACGGAGCCCAGTGTTAGCACCGGCGGCGGGGCCGGGAAGCGCTCGCAGGGTGTGCAAGTGAAGGTGCAAGGGTTTGGGTCTCGGCTTCGGCGGTAGCGGTAACAGATCGCAGGGATCTGAGCAAGTCACTTCCCCGCCACACTCCAGTCGTCCTAACTCTAACGCCGAGCAGAGCGGAGCGGCGGGGTCTCAGCGCCGGGCTTCCCACGGGAGGGGGCCGCGCCGGGGAGACCCGCCGGCCCCTCCCCCTACGCGACTCCCCCCTCCCCCGCTCCAACTAACTCCCAGGGCCGCTCCCACGAGCCGGGCGCCCCGGCCCCCCGCGGCCAGCGGCTTCGGGGCGACTGCGCCTCCAGCCAGTGGACGGCCGGGCGGCCGGGCCCGCAGCGGCGGCGGGGCCTAGCCAATGAGGAGCGTGGCTGCAGCAGGGGGCGGGCGCAGACGGCGCTCCGCGTAGCTCCCGGGCCGCTCTCTCCCCCGCCCCGAGCCCCGCTAGACCGCAGGCTCTGAGCACCGAAGGGAGAAAAGGCCGCTTACCGCCCCTTCGTCGCAGCCCCGCGCTTCCGGATGAGCTCGTCCAGGGAGATGTCCGCCATCTTGCACCGGCGAGCGAGCCGCGAGCAGCTTACTCCCTCGGCCCTCGAGCCCGCCCCTTCGGCCGCGAAGGAGCAACTAGCTGCTTCCGGCGTTCAGCCGACGAACTCTCGCGACAACTCCAACAGGGCAAAAACCGGAAGAGGCGGGGGGTTTCCCGTGAGGCTTTGCGACGCCGGATGCTTATCTGCATACGGCCGTCGGAGAGCTTACCGTTCCTTATTTTCCCCAGACGAATAAATAAAACGGAAGACGACGTCAAAATGTAACTAAGGAATGAGACCAACTGCAAACGCATCGGGCTCTTAGTTCAATGGTCGACTCTGATACTCACCGTAGGGCTAATGAGAATGGGATTCATTACCCTGGGAGTCACACGTGTAGCTCTTTATGCCTTAAACTTATGAGTAAGGAAAATAACGATTCGGGGTGACGCCCGAATCCTCACTGCTAATGTGAGACGAATTTTTGAGCGGGTAAAGGTCGCCCCTAAGGTGACCCGCCTACTTTGCGGGATGCCTGGGTGTTGCGATCTGCCCGTCCCCCTTTTTTTAAACACTAAAAGAATAGACCAGCGGACTCGGATAGGACGTGAACTTGACCCATGACTTGTCTTCGAAGAAAAAAGTTTTTGGCCCGCGGAAGGTTTTTTGTGCTTGTCACCGAGCTGTTCCCCGCGGAGCCCGCCTTTTCCTTATTCCCGTGTTAGTGTTTTGAAAGCTTGCCTGCGTTTTCTGTGTATGACCCGTGGGACTCCGTGTTCAGGTACGATTCACGAGCCTCGGGGGGCGGCGGCGGCCCTCGCCAGTTCCCCGAAACTTCCCCCTGTAATCAGAGCGCACGTGGGGGACGGCGAGAGATAGCCTGCGGCGACCGGCTGCATGCAGTCGGCGCTCACTCACTTTGCGGCTCACGGGGTGAGAGGGGGAGGACCCCCTCGGGTCCCGTCCCACGAGCCGCACTTGTTGGCGGCTCACGAGCAAATCGCTTCGCCTCGTTATGCTGCCGTTTTCTTCATCTATAAAGTGGGGCCAATAACAGGTCTAAACACGTTGCATGTATTATTATTATTATTATTATTATTTTATTGATCGATGCAACAAACATTGAACACTTATCTCGTGCCGAGCTTAATTAATGCTGGGTCCTGGGGCTACTGCATGGAAAAGGCAATTCCACGTGTCAACGTTCTTAGAACAGCAAAGAGCATGTACTGTGCTGAGTAATTCCTAAGTCCAGTGATACCAGTGGAGTTACTGTACTGTGGACAGAACACCCCACAGTTAAAACTCTGGCATCAGAAGCTCCGTGGGCAAGAGCGGATAAAGCTGGAGGGCCTGGGGTTGGGCACCAGACCGAGGAAGGAACCCAGGTCCCACCGGTGCCCCGCGATGGGGTGCCGGCTGGCCTTCCCTTTCTTAGCTCTAGCTTCTCCCTTCCTTCTTCCTCCCAGGAAGTGCGGGGAGGAAGGGGCGGAGGGCGAGGTAAAGGAAGGAAGGGTCCCAGCCTCGGCCTCAGCACCCCTGCCTGCTGGGCAGGTGCGGAGGAACGAGGAAGGGGGGGCGGGGGGAGGGGCTTCGTTTGGAAATCCGCCAGGAGCCACGCGGGGCGTGGGGAAACCCGGCCGCTGTCAGCAGGGACTGGGGCGGGGAGGGGGCTGTGAGACGCCGGGGACTCAGCGCCTGGGCACACCCCTGCCCACCCTCCCGGGGGACTGGAGCCAGCATTGACACGCTGGAATGTGCGTCGTTTTATAAGTCCTTTCCCTTCTTGCTCTTTTGGAGCATAGCTGGAGCTCTGTGTTGATTTTTTAAAATTCTGCATGTAGGCTGGTGACATTGCCTGTGAATTCCCTTCAGGAGGCTAAAGGGGCTGTTATGAATGTCACTGTAAATTTTGTTAATGTTTACTTAGTTTTGAGAGAGAGACACCCACAGATCATGAGTGGGGGAGGGGGAGAGAGAGAGGGAGACACAGAATCCGAAGCAGTCTCCAGGCTCTGAGCTGTCAGCGCAGAGCCGGACACGGGGCTTGAACCCACGAACTGTGAGATCATGACCAGAGCCAAAGTTGGACGCTTAATGGACTGAGCCACCCAGGTGACCCTGTAAATGTTACTCTGAAACAGAGTGAGAGTCAAGAGAGGGTAGAGTCAAGATACTCACCCATTTTACAGATGGGGAAACTGAGACCAGGTGAGAGGGTAGGGACCAGGTCCAATCCATGCCCCTCTCAGTTCCTGGAAACACCCCTTTGTGAGCTCAGGCAGGTGTGCATTCTGACCCTCAGGCCTGTTTTCTCATTCCCCCCTGAAGGGACCAGAATAAGGAGACCTAATGTGAGTCCAGTGCTCTGCAGAGTCCCCAGCACACAGTAGGTGTGCAGAAGAGAGTCCCAGGCCAAGCCCTTTCCTGCCCTGCTCCAGGATGCAGGCCAGGCCAGGATAGAGGTAAGAGAAGAGAGGACAAAGGGTCTCCCTGGCCTGAGGCTTGGCTTCAGGCCTTCCTTCCAGCGCAGGTCCCCATCCTCTCCCCCTCCTCCCTCCCCCCTCCACGCCAGCCACACTGACCTTCACAATGTTCCTGGAGCCATCCAGCAGATCTCTGCCCCAGGGCCTTTGCACCTGCTGGCCACTCCCTCTGGAGCACATCTAGTTTACTTCCTTTCCAGCCTCATTTCCACCTTCCCCTCAACCACCTGCTTTCTTCCATCTGTTTCTGGATGTTAATTCTACAAGTTTCCTCCAGACCCAAGGCCTCTGCACTCCCTGTTCCTGCCTCCTTGAACACCTATCCCTGAAGGGCCAGCTTCGCTGTCTCTTTAGGAAGAACAGCCCTCATTCCCACGTTGCCCCTAATTTCTGTCTTGGCATTTACCATATCACTCATGACGCCATCTGGCATTTGGCTTAGGTCTTTCTCGCCAGCGCCCCAGGAGTCGGGGAGGGCACGTTGGGGCGGCCGCAGCCGAGCCCCAGCACTTGGAACCGGCCATGAAGGCATGAGGGGGCTGGCGCCCCAGCCCCCACCCCGTGGAGCCTTCCACAGGGAGCGTAATACCGGCCTTACTCGGGGCTCACCTCCACCCTGAAGGCCGTTCATCGCCGAGCCTCAGTCTCCCCAGCAGAAAACGAGGAGGGGAGAGCAAAAGGGAAAACAGTGGGGGGCGGGGGGGGGCGCGCATGCAATTGTATGCCACGGGACCGCAGGGGCCCTCCACATGGCTGAGGTGACATGCATAAGGCCGGGCGAAAGGGGAGGGTTTAAAGGCTGGACTCCCAGTGTCCACACGCCCTGGCCCAGCTTTCTGTCTCCAGGAATCTATCCTCAAAAAAAAAAAATCATCTGAAAGGAGGGTGAAGAGAGCCGCTGTTATTTTCAAAATCCACAGACAGGAAACAATCTAGCTGTCCAACCATGGGGGATTTGCTACCTAACAAACATGGTCCACGCGGGCTGCAGAGGGGCCCCAGCAGCGGCCCCGGGGTGCGCCATGTGGCTTCATCGGTGCCGTCGGCATTTGCCACTGGAGGCCCGGTGTCTTTTTTCCTGGGTATATTTTTCTATACTCTCCAAACTTCACCCGGCAAATGCAAGCACGTTAGAGAGAAGGGCTGCCCCCCACGATGACACAAGCCACAGAGCCTCCGGAGGGTTAATATTAGCAAAGGTTTATTTCAACGTATTTTTCTGCTCATAAATGATTCTGAAAAAGCCGATACGCAAGAGGCGCACCCAGCCTGGTCTAAAGGCAAAACTGAGGTCACTGAGAACGCTGCTCAGACAAACTCTCCCCTAGGCTGGGGCGCAGGCAGCAGGAGGGGTGGGTCTGGGGCAGAGGAATAAATAACCATCGTCTCAGCTCTGCCCTCAGGGCTGGGGGCCCAGGAGGCGGCCCCTCAGACTGCCCGGCTGACAGCTTGGGGCTCCCAAAGCGGCCTGAAGGTTGAGGCGCTGGGGAACATGCCGAGGCTTCAGGAGGGCCCACGGGCCAGTCTGCTCCGCCTGCTCCAGGCCCTGAAGAGCCCAGCTCCCTGCCAGCTGGCCCTGCCTGGGCCCTGGGGTGGGGGCAGACTCCTACCCCCACAGCCCCTGCCGAGAGGACTTTTTGGTGTTACCTGTTATGTAGTGTCAGGTGCTGGGGCCGGGCCATGACCCAGGGCAGGTAGCAAGGGTGGCGGGTGAGGGGCCCGAGCTGGTGGCTGGAGGGTCCCCGGCACCCGCAGCTCTGAGCTGCCCGCACATCTGTGTTTACTCCCCGGCTGCGGTCTGCTCTGGGAGGGGTGGCTGGGGCACAGCCTCTGCCGCTGCCTCGTAGGGTGTGGGTGGGCGGGGTGGAGGCAGGGCAGGGGGGCTGAGCACCGCGGGTACAAACCGATGAGGGCCAGCCGGTGGCCGGAGGTGGCCCACCGGTTACCGAACCCTGCTCCCAAAGGGGTCCCTCGGGGGAACCGGCCCAGCGGGGTAACCACCGCAGCCGCACCCAGGGCCACAGCGAGAGATGTGGCGGAAAGTGATGTTAAAGAACAAGGGCGGGGAGGGGTGGGTGTGGACGGGGCACGGTGAGTGTGCAGGGCGGGCGTGCGAGCAGCCAGTGCCTGGCCATCAGAAGGCGAAGCAGCGCTCCTTGGGGTGGCCCACGCGGTCCAGGTTGGGCAGACAGGCGTACTGGATCATGGGCGGGGGGCCACACATCAGTATCAGCGGCTCCTCCTCCGGGGGCGGAAGGTGGTCCCGGATCATCTCCTCATTCACGAAGCCCTGGCTGTAGTCCCAGGCTGCAAGCAGGAGACAAGGTGGGTCCCAGTGTGGCCACGTGACTGACCCAACGATGGCCTACTTACCCCAAACCCCCTCCCCCGACCATTAAACCCTCCTGGGCTGTGAATTCCTCCCTTCTTTCAACAAACACTGAAGAATAAAGAGGCTGATCTGACACACACGCTTGCCCTGATCCCCTGCCCCAGATTGGCTCATCCAGAACAAAACAGCCAGTTCACAATTAACAAAATGGCAGTAAGTGCACAGCGATCGATAATTACTCTAAGTGTAAATGGACTAGATTCTCCAATCAAAGGTGACCGAGTAGATACAAAACAAGACCTATCTACACCAACACAAAAACAGACACACGGATCAGTGGCACAGAATAGAAAGCCCAGGAATAAACCCGTGATTATATGGTCAATTAATCTTCAACAAAGGAAGCAAGAATATGCAATGGGAGTGGTGTCAAATAAAGCCTCAACAGGGCCCTGGGCTGCTGCTGGTCTCAGGGGGGAAAAAAATACAATGGGATAAAGACTGTGTCTTCTACAGGTGGCATTGAATAAACTGGCCAGCCACATGCAAAGGAACGAAACTGGACCACTTTCTTTTTTTATTATTATTATTGTTTTTAATGTTTTATTTATTTCTAGGAGAGAGGGAGAGAGACAGCGTGAGCAGGGGAGTGTCAGAGAGAGAGGGAGTCACAGACTGAAACAGGCTCCAGGCTCTGAGCTGGCACTCAGCACAGAGCTTGACGCGGGGCTCGAACACACAAACCGCAAGATCATGACCTAAGCGAAAGTTGGACGCTTAACTGACTAAGCCACCCAGGCGCCCCGGCTGAAACTGGACCACTTTTCTTACCCCATGCACAAAAATAAACTCAAAATGGATAAAGGACCTGAATGTGAGATCTGAAACCATAACATTCCTAGAAGAGGGCACAGGCAGTAATTTCTCTGACATAAGCCATAGCAACATTTTTCTGGAATGTCTCCTACGGCAAGGGCAAGCAAAAGCAAAAATGAACTATTAGGATGACATCAAAATAACAAGCTTCTGCACAGCAAAGGAAACAGACAACAAAACTGAAAGGCAGCCTGCTGAGTGGGAGAAGATATGTGCAAAGGGCTCATCTGATAAAGGCTTAGTGTCTGAAGTATATAAGAACTGACACAATTCAACAACCAAAAGACAATCTAATCAAAAATGGGCGGAAGACACGAACAGGCATTTCTCCAAAGAAGACGTCCAGATGGCCAATGGACATATGGAAAGATGCTGACCAGCTCTCATCATCAGGGAAATACAAATCAAACCACAGTCAGGCACCACCTCACACCTGTCCGAACGACTAAAATCAAAACACAAGAAACACCAGGCGTTGGCGAGGATGTGGAGAAAAGGGGACCTTCGTGCACTGGTGGTGGGAATGCAAACTGGTGCAGCCGCTATGAAGACAGTATGGGGGTTCCTCAAAAAGTTAAAAATAGAGCTACTCTACCATCTGGGAATTGCACTACTGGGTATTTACCCAAAGGATACAAGTACACTAATTCGAAGGGACATGTGCACCCCAATGTTTACAGCAGCATTCTCTACAACAGCCAAGATACCTTGGGAAGCAGCCCGAGTGTCCATTGTTAGGATGAATGAAGAAGATGTGGTACATACATACGAGGGAATATTATTCACCATAAGACGCAATGAAATCCTGCCATTTGCAATGTGGCTGGAGCTAGAGAGTATTACGCTAAGTGAAATAAGGCAGTCAGAGGAAGACAAATACCATATGACTTCACTCATGTGGAATTTAGGGAGAAAAAACAACAAAGGGAAAAAAAAAGAGAGACAGACCGAGAACAGACTCTTTAACTGTGGGAAATACACTGATTGTTGTCAGAGGGGAGGGTGGGGGCCTGGGTGAAACAGTGAAGGGGATGGAGAGGACATTTTCTGTGAGGAGCGCTGAGGAGCAGATAGAATTTCCCAATCACTACATTGTACACCTGAAACTAACCGAACACTGTGCGTAAATTACACCAAAATTACAAGAAAACAGACAAATGAACAAGATCTATGTGCTGCCTGCAAAAACTCGCTTTAGGTGTGTGGGGTCCACATGGACCAGGAGAGAAGGGACGGAAAAGGTCGCTCTGTGCAAATGGAAACAGAGAGAGCTGGAGTAAATAAGAGACAAAGAGGGGCATGACGTAACGGTAAAGAGGTCAACCCCACAAGGACGTCACATTGGTAAATAACTTCTGCGCCCAATACGGAAGGACCTGATGACATAACGCGAATACTAACAGGTCTAAAGGGAGAAACAGAGGGCAATACAGTAATAGTGAGATATTGTAATATCCTGCTATGTCAATGGCTAGGTCACCCAGACAGAAAGTCAGTAAGGAAACTTTGGCCTTAAGCGACACATTAGACCAGATGGAATTAACAGACGTTTACAGAACATTCCATCCAAAAGCACACCTCATCCCTGTCAGAATGCCATCATCAAAAAGACAAGAAACAGGTGCTGGAGAGGATGTGGAGGAGAGGGAGCCCTTGTGCACCGTGGCTGTGAGTGCCCGCTGGCGCAGCTACTGTGCAAAACGGTACAGAGGGGCCTCAAAAAGTTAGAAATAGAACTACCGTGTACACCAGCAATTCCACTTTTGGGTATTTTTCTGAAGAAAATGAAAACACTGGGGTGCCTGGGTTGGTTCAGTCGGTTGAGCGGCCGACTCTGGCTCGGGTCATGATCTCAAGGTTCGTGGGTTCGAGCCCCATGTCGGGCTCTGTGCCGATAGCGCTGAACTTGCTGCGGATCCTCTCTCCCTCTCTTTCTGCCCCTCCCTCCCCCAATAAAATAAAACATTAAAAAAAAAAAAAGAAAATGAAAACACTAACTCAAAAAGTTATCTGCACCCTCTGTTCACGGTAGCATTGTTTACGACGACCTAGATATGGAAGCAAACTGAACACTCACTGACGGATGAATGGGCAGGGAAGTTGTGCTACGAATACTGTCACAGAGAAGGAATTCCTGTCCCTTCAAAGGCCCTTCTAGCTGGACTAAGAATCAAATTGACATGACAGAGATTAACAGGCGAAAATCAAATGTAACAGCCTATGCACAGGGAATCCACATGGACGTGGGAATTCCGAAGATGGTCAGGCCAAATGAGGTCTAGATGTCATTCTGGACTCAGGGGAAGGGGCCAGCGGCCTGAGACTTCAGAGGAAGCGGATGCACTTCAGAGCAGATGTTTGGTTATTAGATGTTTGCCCTGCCACGCTGAGGAGTCACTCCGATAAAATCTACCTCTGTCAATAACCCTCCTTCGGAGAAAGACCCCCTATTTCTTTATTTCTTATTAAGTTTATTTTTATTTATTTTGAGAGAGAGAGAGAGAGAGCATACAGGCGAGGGACAGAGAGAAAGGGAGAGAGAGAATCCCAAGCAGGCTCTGCCCCGTCGAGAGCCTGATAAGGGGTCTGAACTCACGAACTGTGAGAAGAATTTAGATTCTTCCGTGTGGTTAAGGAGGCGACAAAAGTTTCTCTTGAGCCCAACAGGGTCTCAAGTGCCTTCAGCTCAAAATAACCCACATGCCCAAATGACACATTCTGGAGGGGAGGGGTGTGGGCGAGTCCTGAACCCCTTCAATACAATGGAATGTTGTTCGGTCATAAAAAGAATGACCTCCTTGCCATTTGTGACAACATGCATGGACCTCAAGGGCATGATGTGAAATGAAATGAGTCAGACGGAAAGAAATACCGTATGAGTCACTTACGTGTGGAATCTCAAAAAAAAAAAACAAAAAAAAAAAACAAGAAGAAAGGAAAAACCTAAGAACAGAAGGCCCCAAGCTCACAGATACAGAGAACAGATTGTTGGCTGCCAGAGGCAGGGGAGGGGGCTGGGAGAAATAGATGGAGGAGGTATAAGTTTATTTTTATTTTATTTTATTTATTTATTTTTTAATTTTAATATTTTATTTATTTCTGAGAGAGAGAGAGAGAGAGACGGCGTGAGCAGGGGAGGGTCAGAGAGAGAGGGAGACACAGAATCCGAAACAGGCTCCAGGCTCGGAGCTGTCAGCACAGAGCCCAATGTGGGGCTCGAACCCACAGACTGTGAGATCATGACCTGAGCTGAAGTTGGACGCTCAACCGACTGAGCCACCCTATTTACTTTTTTTAACGTTTATTTTTGTGAGGGGGGGAGGGGCAGAGAGAGAGGGAGACACAGAATCCGAAGCAGGCTCCAGGCTCTGAGCTGTCAGCACAGAGCCCGACGCGGGGCTCGAACCCACAACTGTGAGATCATGACCCTGACGCTTGACCGACTGAGCCCCCCGGGCGCTCTGGTGTAAGTTTATTTTTAAAACTACGCACGGGACTCAGCTGTAGTGGCTAGTATGTAAAATGCGCAGGTATACAAGAGATCCCAAATTTACACGGATTTTGTTTAAGTAGCGCATTTTTCTTTACGCGGGTACTGCGGGTGGCTTCGTGGGGAGACACAGGTGAGCCGTACTTGCACGAGCCCCACGCCCCGTTCCTTCACTCAGTCTCACAACAGCCTTGCCCGCCTGGTACACCATTTTCTTCCTTGGCACCTAGAATGTCGGCTTCTACCTCAGGTTGTAGCAATCCCGCAGCCCCGCCTGCACGTGGGTCAGGGTGGTAATAAACCGAGTGGGAAGTCGGAGGCGGCCCAGCCCTTGGCGGGCAACCGTGTCCGCTCCAACAGTCCCCACTTCGGTGGTGGCAGTGCCATGTGCCACCACCAGGGGGCAGCGCCGGCCCCCTCCCCCGCGGGCCTCGGGGACGCGACCAGAAGGGAGTAAACCTCTTTCGGGTGAGACACGGATACAAGCCTAATGTCCCTTTCTTTACTGTAAGAAAATGAACAACTTCTGGAACCGGTGCTCCCCCTGCCGGACCCTACAGTTCGCCCGTGAACAGCACGGGCCACTTAACGTGGGCATTTTCTCCGGCTAGTACAGTACAGTGCTGAAATGTATTTTCCCAATGGTCTCCTTTCTTTTTTTTTTTTTTTAATTTTTTTTTAATGTTTTATTTATTTTTAGGAGAGAGAGAGAGACAGCGTGAGCAGGGGAGGGTCAGAGAGAGAGGGAGTCACAGGCTGAAACAGGCTCCAGGCTCTGAGCTGGCAGTCAGCACAGAGCCCGACGCGGGGCTCGAACCCATGAAGTGCGAGATCATGACCTAAGCGAAAGTCGGACGCTTAACCGACTAAGCCACCCAGGCGCCCCAATGGTCTCCTTTCTTTTCTCTGATTGCTCTATCGTGAGAACACAGCGTGTACAGATGCAACATACAAAATATGTGTTCATCGGCTGTGCTATGGATAAGGCTTCGGGTCCACAGTAGGCAATGTTAGTAGTTAAGTTTTTGTGGAGGCGAAAGTCATATGCTGGGGCGCCTGGGGGCTCAGTCCGCTAAGCGTCCGACTTCAGCTCAGGTCATGATCTCGCAGTTCGTGGGTTCGAGCCCCGCATCGGGCTCTGTGCTGACAGCTCAGAGCCTGGAGCTGCTTCGGATTCTGTGTCTCCCTCTCTCTCTGCCCCTCCCCTGCTCGCTCGCGCTCTCTCTCTCAAATATAAATAAACGGTAAGAGAAAAAAAGTTATATGCAGATTTGTGACTGCGCGGTCAGCACCCCGAACCCTGTGCTGCCCAAGGGTTAACTGTACTCTGGTCTCACTCACCACCTGCTCCTCTGCTCTATGACTTGCGATACATGTGTTTCGTGTTCATCTTCCCCCACCTTCATCAGCTCACGGGGCCAAGCCGGCTTCCTGAACAGAGGCTCGGCCAGGAGCCTCGAAGAGCGGGTCCACGACAGGCGGCCAGCGAGAGGCCTCAGGGCGCTGCTGTCCGGTCCGCAATCCACCCACGCCCCAGCCCAGGCCTCCGCCAGGAGGCCCGGGACCCCCCCGTCCTCCCTCAGGGATGGGCGCCTGCCCCTAGAGCCCATCTGCGCAGTCCCGGGGGAGGTGGGCGCCCAGTGAGGGCGGGGGAGGCGGGTGCAGGAGGTGAATGGCCTCACACGCCGGCGCCCATAAGGATGCTTCAAAAACGTCTGCTTCCACCACTTAGAAGTTCCCCGTGAAATCGCAGGCCTGCTTCTCTTGCAAAGCGGGGCCTCTGGGGGGAGCGGACGTTCTCCATGCGCCACCACCTCCCTGCAGCCGAATGTCCTCAGGACCGCCCACCAGGAAGCCGACCTGCTGCTTTTCTCACAGTATTTCCTGCACCCACGTCTCTACCTAAAGCAGGAGAGTGAAGGGGACTTTCACTCCCAGGGGGCGGCCTCGCTTCAGGTTTTACAGACGGCCCTCATCCACTGCCCCCTGCGTGACCTTGGCATGAGGGTAAGGGTAGGTGGGCCCAGCCCAGCCCCCAGGGCTGCTGCCCAGGGAGAAAATGGGCGTAACGTGCCTTACGGGGCACAGACTGCAAAGTGGGGGCCGTTGCCCACACCCCCAGCAGTGACCCTGAAGACCTGCCCCAGAGTGAGCCCCCCACCACGCGGAGAAAAACCAACTCTTTGTCCAGTGGGGGGCGGGGCAGCCAGGGAAGGCCTCGGGCTCCAGAGGAGGAGGCCGGAGTTCAAGCCCGGGCCCTGGTGCTTCCTAGCTGTGTGACCTGGGACACTTACTTCCCCTCTCTGATCCCGCCTTCCTCATTTGTGAGAGGGCGGCACACGACCTCGCTCGCACAGGGCCACGCTGAGCATCACAGAGGCTGAGCATCACAGAGACGAAGGGCGCAGCAGACTCCACCCCAAGAAGGGCCCAGCACCCCCGCCCCGCCCCCTCTCACCTTCGGGGGCTTTGTCCACTGTGTACCAGAGCTTGAAGCGAGCAGAATGTTCGTTCCTCAGCTCCTCCAGCTCGGGCCGCAGCAGGATGTCCTTCTCGGTCTGTGGGGACAGGGCGCAGCTCATCATCCCACCCGCCCCCCGGGGGCCACACACTTGGCAGCGCTGGCAGGGGAGAGGCCTGGCAGAGCTGAGCCAGACTCCCAGAAACTCCCGGAAACTCCGCCCCCCCTTCCCGAGGGGCGGGTCAAAGCTGCAGACAAGACGTCCTTGGTGACAAACGGGCGTTTGCGGAAGGTGGGCGTTTGCGGAAGGCGTGTGGGAGCCGTGCCCCAACGTACCTGGGAGCGGGGAGAGCAAGCAGATGAAGACCAGCACGCGCAGCCACAGGACTGGGAGCGACCGGAGGGGACCAGGCCAGTGCGTCGTGACTGTCCACTTAAAATAGCCAACAGTCCCACCACCCTCATCGCCGGGGCAAGTCTACGTTCTGGTGTCTCCCGCTGCTCCCCACGGCCCAGCGGCTCCTGCAGAGCCTCGCCCACGCTGGTGCCCCTGCTTGGCCCGCAGCTCCACACTCTGCTCCCACCGGCTTCAGCCGGCTGGCCCCACATGACCCTGTCCTTCAGCCCGGTATCACCTCCTCTAGGAAGCCTTCCCGGACTCCCCAGGGGCATCAGCGTACTCCTCACACGGCCCCCCCTGACCACAGGCCTTTGCCTCATGCGCCCACAGATCCCTCGAGGATAGAAAGGGCTCCTCCAACCAGTGGTCAGCGTGACTGGGCTCGTGGGGCTGTCCTTAAACCCGGGGCCACAGGGCTCCCTGCGAACCAGAAGGGATCGCCCACTCACACCACCCCTGAGCCTCTGGGCAGGGGGCAGAAGGGCCCTCCCCAGGGAGGCAGACAGCGAGAGACGTGGAGATGCACTTTCTGTCCCCCATGACCAACGGCACCTGACATCCTCAGCGAAAGGGACTAGCGGGGTGCTTAGTGGCATTGAGAGGTGGGGAGGAAGAGACAGATCATTCGAAGCCACAGCGATGAACGTGTCCGGAGAACCCGCCGCACGGAGGCGTCTTGCTACAGGAGGGACTGACCCAGCCATGCTTGTTCTCATAAGGAGCCTGCAGCCCCGACTCCTCAGTGTTCCCCTCTGGGAAATGGGCTGCAGGCAGGAGGCATGAGCCTCTGAGTATCTCGAGGAGGAGGGTATTGATCGTTTCTCCCATTTCTAAGGGGGGCAGAGGGCCCTGCCTGCCCTGATCGAGTGAGAGCAGGGCCAGGGCTCAGGCTGGACAAGCTCTGTATAAAATTCTGCAGGAAATATGGGAGAAAAGAAAAATCACCTGATAGTCTCATCAGGTCAGTCTATTACCTGATAGAGATGACAAGTCACAATTTTTTGTGTACCTTTCAGACTTTGTTTTCTTTTTCTTTTCATGTTTATTTATTTATTTGACGAGAGAAAGAGTGAGCAGGTGCATGTGAGAGCACAGGGGAGGGGCAGAGAGAGACGCAGAGCATCCCAAGCAGGCTCCACGCTATCAGCACTAAGCCTGATGAGGGGCTCGATCTCACAAACCAGATCATGACCTGAGCTGAAATTAACTGACTGAGCCACCCAGGCACCCCTAGTAGTTTTCTAACAACTACTTTCTTTTTAACAAAAATGGGATCAGGGCATCCATGCCACCTTACCACCTGCTCTTTTTTTTTTTTTATGTTTGTTTTTGAGAGAGAGAAACAGAGCATGATTTGAGGTGGGGGGGGAGGCAGAGAGAGAGAGAGAGAGGGAGACACAGAATCTGAAACTGGCTCCGGGCTCTGAACTGTCCGCACAGAGCCCGATGCAGGGCTCGAACTCGGGACCGAGATCAAGACCTAAGCCAAAGTCGACGCTTAACCGCCTGAGCCCCCAGGCGCCCTCCACCTGCTCTCCTCAGGAAAGAACACAGCACAGACCCTCCATGCTGTGGAGCCTCCGAGCCCAATGCTTCCCTTACCAGGTGCCCAGCTTGTGCGGGACCAAGGGACTGTTCACTGCTGAAGGACATTTAAGTCGTTTTGGACGCCCTCCTTCAGACACGTCTCCCTGACCATCCTCACTGCCCTAGCAATTTCTTAGATGAATCTGAGAAAGTGGAGTTTGGGGCAGGAAATTCCACATGGAAAAGGCATTCAATACACACAGCCCCTACTCCCTAGGTGGCCTTCGGTAGCACACATACCAGCGGCACCCCAGACTGTCTCCTCCTACACCTTTGCCAGCACCGCGTAATGACCGTTTCACACCTCAGCCAATCAGAGGGATGGAAAGTCAATCTCATGCTGTTTGTTTGTTTCTAAGTAATCTCTATACCCAGCGTGGGGCTTGAACCCAGTTGCATGCTCTTCTGACCGAGCCAGCCAAGTGCCTGTATCTATTGTTATTTAAAATTTAAAAGCACCTGGGTGGCCTAGTCCGTTAAGCGTCCAACTTCGGCTCAGGTCATGATCACGCGGTTCGTGGGTTCAAGCCCTGCATCGGGCTCTGTGCTGACAGCTAGCTCAGAGCCTGGAGCCTGTTTCAGATTCTGTGTCTCTCTCTCTGACCCTCCCCTGCTCACGCTGTCTGTCTCTCTCTCTCAGAAATAAATAAAACATTACATTAAAAAAAATTTTTTAAGAGAGAAGTTTGTCACCGGCTCTAGTTGTATCTTGTTAGTTTGAAAAGACTCTCTCTATAGTGGTGACCCAGCTGTTTATCTATCTTATTTAGAGGATTTTTTCCATTTTTAGCAGATGGGCTCTCCTTCTGTGTCTTCCTTACACTGCCCATCCCCATTCATTCATTCAATACTCATAAAAAGGCTCACCTAGGGCCTCGAATGGGTCACTTTTCTACAAGTACGTTTTCAACCTAAATCTCATTTTACTGTAAGGTTAAAGTAGCGATCTACTCAGCATTTTCCAAAGTCGTAGAGGCTAACCCACACTCTTTTCCGTCGCTCTCCTCAGGTTTGAGATGCCACTTGCCCCAACTGCAAAGTCTCATATGTACTTGAGCCTGCCTGTTGGCCAGTGCTGTTCAACAGAACTTTCTGCAATGATATGGATGGGAATGTTCCAGATCTATGTTACCCAGTACAGTAACCACATGCCACATGTGACTACAGAAGCCATGAAATGCGGCTACGGAGACTGGGAAAAGGAGTTTTACATTTTAGTTCATCTTCATTGACTTAAAAGTAAATAGCCACGTGTTCTAGCATGTTCCAGCACAGTCTAGATTTTCCATCAGGTCACCCAGAAGTGCACGAAGCAGAGTTCTCACATGTGGCTCTGGCGCCACGGTTTCCCTCACTGATGCATTAGTAGCGGCATCAATTCTTTCTTGTTATTCTCTCTTCTCAGAACGTTCTTGGCTGCGCAGGGACACTGTCTTCACCTACCTCGAGCACTTAACTTGCATGTTTCTGTCTGCTTCCATCACGGTGCACGCCAGGACCCACAGAGGCTACGTGACCTGCCACATCGCCCCAACTGCACGCAAAACCAGGTACTGAATCTAGCTGCTTCCGTTCAGCCAGACATCACAGAGGTTTGCAAAAATCTATATAACAAGGCAGTATTTTCCAAAATAGAGGTGCTTTTCATCAGCAATGCTCTGGCTCAGGTCCTGGTCACACTCCTTGCTGGGACACTGGCAGGTCGAGCCCCTCTCTGGGTCTCTGAGCCCAGAGCTAGAAAGTGGAAATCATTCCACCGCCCAGGCCACCAGGCTCACAGGGAGGAGGTCCTGTTCGGGTGACAGGACTGACAGCCTCCAGGGACCAGTACTAAGCCAGCAGCACTAAGTGGAGCCAGCGAACTCCCACCCACTGCACCCCCCCCCTCCTTGGAACTACTGGCTCTCCCCGCCCACGCCTGGGCCTCATCGAAGCCCCCGAGGAGGGCCCCAGAGCTGTGTCCTACAGCTGTGGAGGCCCAAGGCCTCGGGCAAGCTGATGTCAAGTCTCACCTTGACTTTGCCCCAAAGGGGCATCTCTGCAAATTCCACACGTTCAGTCATAAAACACTGAATCTAGAAAGATGCTTAGGATGACCTTGCTTCATCAGCTCATTCCACAGTGAGGGTGCAGAGCCCAGGGAGGGCAAGTGGCTTGCCCAAGGCCACACAGCAGGCCAGAGCAGGCAGGCAGCAGGCATGGGGAAGGGGACACACACTCAGGAGCCAGAGAGACCAGGTCCAAACCCTGACCCAACTCCCCCAGCTCAGGGACACCGTGCGCATGTGCTTTCGGCCCCTCTGGCCCCAGGCCAGTGTTCTTCCCCTTCCCTGCTGGGCTCCTCACTGTTCGTGGAGTGAGCTCTGAGATTCAGAGGAAGCAGCCAAGGAGACACCCCAGGGTGGGGGGGTGCTCTAGGAGCATCGCCACCCCCCGCCCATCCCCCAAGCAGCCCCACTCAGGTCAGACCCCCGGCTCTGGACTGAAAAGCCTGATGCCCACTGGCTACCGCGAAGGCTACCCGAGCACAGGACGCTCAGAGGACCTCATGTTTCAGCCACAGAGCCGTGCAGACGCCCCGACGGGCGCCCACAGGGGCCTGCGTATCATGGGAACGCCACTGACCTGGTTGGCAAAGAGCAGGTGGCACACGGTGTGGTCATCTGGGTCTTTCATGATGGCGCGGATCACCTGTAGCATTGGGGTGATGCCTGCAAAACAGCAGCCCGCCCAACACTGATGAGTACCCGCTGTATACAGTGGCACAGGCCCAGTGCGGGCAAGCACACGGCGGGGAGGGAGGGGTCATGACAAGCAGGCATGGGCTCCTGGCCTTGGGGAGCTCACAACTGCTTCTATCTGTGCCCTGACCCTGACCCTGACCCGTGACATCTGCCTGCTGAGGCCTCAGCGAAGGACTCTGGGTCCACATACCAGTTCCTCCTGCAATCATGCCGACAGACTTCACCGTCCTGATGACCGGGTTGGATTTCTTGTCTGGGCGGATGGCAAACTTCCCTGCGGAGAGAAGGGAGAAGGGGATGGGGAGCCCCCGGCTCTCAGACACGCTGTGCCGGGGGCTGGACAGGTTGGAGAACCGGCCCTGCTCCGGGGGTCTGAGGTGGGGGCGGCCGCCGGACAACCCCAGCCAGCTGGGGGCCGGGAGGGGATACGGGCCCAGAGGAGCAAGGGGCTCCCACCACGGAGGGGGTGGGGGGCAGTGGGGAGGCTGGGGAGCCAGACGTGCTCCAGCTCGGAGCTTTCACTTGTTTTCAGCCAAACAAAGCTGGTCTGGGGGCCACATCTGGTCCCCAAGGGCAGCCGGTCTGCAACCCCCATGCTGGCCAATTTCCTTCCTCCACGGCTGAGTAAACTGAGGCCCCAGAGAGGAGCCGGCCAGCCCGACAAGAGTCACCCACCCAGACAGCAGCAGCATCGGGCCGGCACCCCGCATTCACTGTGCCCACAGAGCCTAAGGGGGTTCCAACCCCACTCACCTTTGCCCTGGTAGACCAGCAGCCCATTTGGGCCCCGGAACTCAATGGTGTCTCCGATCTTCATGCTTTCCAGGTACTGGGACATCTTCCCCCCGGCAGGAAACTTGGGATGGGTGTCTTTGAAGTAAACCTGCAAGACAGGCCCGGGTGCTTGGTCCCGTTCATAGGGTCACCGGGGTAAGCTCTGGGCCGCGGAGGGAAGGGGGGAGCCTCTTCTGGGTTTCTCCTGCGGCCAGTGTGTGGCTTGCCCACGTAGGGGCGGGGAGTCCGCTCTTCCCCAACATCCCTTCGGGACACAGCCTCAGCCTGCTGCACAGGGAGACCCGAGGGCCTGCTGTATTAACTGTATTAATGTTCTACCCAGAACTGACTCCTGCCCCCTCCCTATGGGAGATTCCCATGCTATCAGCACAGAAAAGCCTTGCGGGGGGCGGGGGGGGGGGGTCTCGGCCCACCCCTCCTGTGCATCCTCATTCTTTCCATTTTGTGCTGTCATAGAAACAGCATTCCTGGAGCGACTTCCTTCCTGTGCCCTTTGGGGCTTCCCCTTTGGGAGAAAGGAAGTGCTACAAGAGAGAGACTGATGAGGAGACTGTGAGCTGCTCGCCCTGCCCAGGCCTGAGGGGCAGGCAGGAGTGATGGGCAGGGAGAGGGCGCCTGGGCCTCTGGGGAGAAAGAAGAGCTCATCCTGGCCAGAGTGCAGGGGAAGTGTCGGCGTGGGGAGGGTGCAGGGACAGGGAGAGGTATGCGGGCCAGGACTCTGGCCTTTGTCCAGGGCCAACAGGGAGCAGGGAGCAAAGTCCCTGAGCCAGGAGGGTCTGGTCTTCCTGAGCCTCCCATCCTCCACTTGGATCCCCCCCACCCCCAACACCTTCTGCACGTCCGGCTAGAGTGATTTCAACAAGAACAGAGGTTCCAATCAGGCTACCTTCCCCTTCCTTCTGGACAAAGCCCCAAATCGTACCGGGCCCCCAAAGCCCTGCCTGGCCCCCCAACCTGTCCCTTCTTGTCCTCCAAAACACCCTGCCCTTTGGCTGCATCAGTCTATAAGCCTCCTTCTGACCTCAGGGCCTTTGCACCAGGAAGGCCCTTTTCCTTGCTCTCTGTCTGGGCAATGCGTCCCGGGCCCCCACACCTCACCCCTCCGTTGCCTGTCGAAGGGAGCAGCGCCCATCACCCCACCTGCCTCAGCCCTGGTGCCATTCCAGGCGCTTGGTCTCATGGGCTCCTCCCCTGGAGCAAGGGCGTCCGCTCTCCAGGCAAAGACAGGCCCCCGAGGGTGGGCCTGAGCACCCAGCACAGTCGGAATGACACCAAGCTAAGGAGGGACCAGGCCACAGCCTAGATCCACAGGCCCAGCTCCCTTCCTACCCTCACAGGCCCTGGGCCTCAGCTGTGGCCGAGAGGGGTCCCTGCCTGTCGCTCCACCACGAAGGGCCCAGTGAGGGGGCCCACGCAGCGGAGGGAGGACAGTCAGGCTGGTCCGCAGGAACGCCGAGCCAGGGTGCCCATGGGGGTCCGGGCCCCTGCTGGGAGGGTCTCCGGCAGCCCACGCCCACCGGCCTGGGCTGATTCACATTTCCGAGAACACAGGTCATTCTGGAAAGCCTGTGCTTCTAGTTTTTACAGAAGTGTTCTGCGCCTTGGTTGGCACTGCTTTTTCCACTCAATGTGAGGATTTTTAAGATCCACGCCAGATGTCCTGCGCCTCTCCGATGCTAACGGCTGCACCTCCGCAGCGTGCGCTCACCCGACCCGCGATGGACCCCAGCTCTCCAGACGACAGCCCCGAGCTCCTCACGCTGCTCCCGAGGGGGCCCAAGGGAGGTGTGCTCAGGAAAGGCCCTGCTGGTCACAGAGGCCGTGTGACCAAGTGCGGTGAAGCGGGCACCGTGGGCCTCCCCCAGGCGCCCAGCGCCCCAGGCTTTGCCCGTCCCAGAGCAGGAAAGTGAGCCCTGCACGCGCTGGCCCACCTTCCTGGTTTCTCTTCTGCAGATGCCCTGTCCTGGGTTGAAGACACTCACCCTGAGCCCCTGCGCCCGCGCCTGCCCTCTGCCACAGCCCCCACATCCGGCTTTTGCTGGTAAATCATAGTTTGCGGTTCACTCAGAAACCAGGTCCGGGGTGAGCACTGGGCCTTCGGAGAGCAGGTCACCCCTGCCCCACGCGGTCACGGCCCCGAAACCTCACCTTGATGACCAGGTCCACAAAACCCTTGTCGTCATCGCTGGAGACGGGCGTGTAGGGCCGGATGACCAGGTTTCCATCGATCCGGGCTGAGAGGTAGATGTGCTGGCCTGCGGGACAAGGAGGCGTGACTCCGGGAGTTCAGGGGGGCCGCCAACTATCCCTGCACGGCCCACCGAGTCTAGTCAGCCCGCTGCCCTTTGCCCCACCCCGTACCCAAAGCTGGGCCTGGCCTCAGCTCCCCGGCCCCCTTCCTGCCCGCACAGGGGCTCGCGCCAGGTCCCGGCTTCCTGCGGCCACACCTTTGCTCGTGCTGGTGGCACCGCCGGGGACAGCAGGGCCTTCCCCTCTCAGGCTGACGCTCATCCTTGAAGGCCCAGCATGGCCATCACCCTCTCCTTGAAGCCTTCCCCACTCTCCCTAGTTCAAGTGCAAAGCTGCCACCTCTCTGACCTGGCACCCGGCCCGGCCCGGCCTGGGTCAGGGCTGCACTCACCGACGGGGAGGCCCAGGATGTGCTGGGGCGACGGCAGGGCGAAGCGGAACCGCCGGGTGTCATGGTTGATGACCTGCAGGGAGGCCCGAGCTGTTACGCGGCACCCAGGGCAGGGCGGCCCCCGACCTCCGAGCTCCTGGTGCCCAGTGTGACCGAGAAGCGATGCTGGTGCATGGGGACACACGAGCCACACATGTGTGTGCAAGCACCGGGTGGACCTCTGCTCTCACTGGCCCAGAGAAGGGCAGGGACCCACCCAGGGCCACATAGCAAGGTGGTCAGGGTAAGGGATGAACTCGGGATCCCAAAGGAAGGCTGTCATGTGGCCCAGAAAATTCCGGGGGCAAGAGGGAGGATCCAATGCTGCCATCAGCTTGGACAGTGTCCTGGGGTAGCAGGAAGAGCTCGGGCCCTGGGCTGGCAAAGCAGGGGCAGGGCCGAGACAAGGCCCCTGTGGGGTCTCCCTGCACCAGGTGCCGCCAGGAGCCTGGGCGCCGAGGGGCCGTTCGGAAGGCGCGGCTGTCCCGCACACAGTCACGCCCACAGGAGACTAGGCGATGTGGCAACGTGTGCTCCCGGACATGGTGTCACCGCTTGGGACGACAGAATCCTCACTCTGAGTGTCCCCGAAGTGTGCAAGCAGAGCCAGGGGGTCTGATCGCAGGAAACCAGAGCGCAGCCACCGCTCAGGACACCGGGCCTGGCAGCCAGCGGTCCCTCGGCCCCGGCAGCCCAGGCCTGAAGCCGCAGCCCCCGGAAACCTTGCAAACTGAGCCCCGACGCCTCCTGGGAACGGATTCCAGGATTATCAACTGGTCCTGGGGCTCAAGGTCAGGAACCCATAGCCAGGCAGTTTTTGGAAGAAGAGAAACGAGGGGAAAACACAGCTAGTCACTGCGCCGGACAGCGCTAGCGAGGCACAGCAAGTCACGCGGCTGACGTCAGTGCAGAGCTCAGCTCCGTGCTGGCCAGGAGGAGTGGAGCAGCCAACCCCCAGAGCTCCGGGGGGGCCTTGCAGGTCAGCGGGTCTGGGAAGGGCAGGCGGTCGGGGCCTCCCTATGCCCGTGGGGGAGCCTAGCAAAAGTATCCAAAATTAGACCCACCTGCTGACCCCCAAAAGCCACCACTAGGCTATCACGGGTGAGGGGGCAGATTTAACTGCTGGGACATTTGCCGCAGGCTCAAAGGGAACTGGGGGGTCCATTGTGTGACGTCCCTATGAGGAAATACTAGACAGTCATCAATGAACTAGGGGGACACTGGGGGGAGGGGGCTCAGCCGGCTGAGCGGCCAGCTTTGGCTCAGGTCATGATCTCGCAGTTTGTGGGTTCGAGCCCTGCGTCGGGCTCACCGCTATCAAGCCTGTCAGTGCAGAGCCTGCTCTGGATCCTCTGTCCCCCTCCCTCTTCCCCTCCCCCGCTTATGCCTTCCCAAAGATAAATAAATTTAAAAAGTAATAATAATGAACTAGGGGCGTCTGGGTGGCTCAGTGGTTAAGCATCCAACTTCGGCTCAGGTCATGATCTCACGGTTAGTAAGTTTGAGCCCCGCCTGGGACCCTCTGCTACCAGCACAGAGCCCACTTTGGATCCTCTGTCTCTCCCCTCCCCGCCCCCAACAATAAAACAATAAATAAAGATTAAAAAAAATGATTCAGCTTTGAGTTAGACATGATAAGGTGTCTATGTTGTACGGCTGGGTAAAAAATATCAGGTTATTGGGGCTCAGTTGGGTAAGCGTCCAGCTTCGGCCCAGGTCATGATCTCACGGTTCGTGAGTTCGAGCCTGCTTTGGATCCTCTCTGCCCCTTCCCCGCTCATGTGCTTTCTTTCTCTGTCTCTCAAATATTATTAATAAAAAAAATTTTTTTAATCAGGTTATTAAAAAAGAGACAGGGGCACCTGGGCGGCTCAGTCGGTTAAGTGGCCAACTTCAGCTCAGGTCATGATCTCACAGCTCATGGGTTCAAGCCCCGCACGGGGCTCTGTGCTGACGGCTGAAGCCTGGAGCCTGTTTCAGATTCTGTGTCTCCTTCTCTCTCTGCCCCCCCCCCCCACATTCTGTCGCTCTCTCTCTCTCTCTAAGATACTAAACATTAAAAAAGTTAAAAAAAAAAAAAAGAGAGAGAAACAATAAATAGACACACAACTAAAACTCCACCCGTCATATATATGAACGTGACGCCCAGAAGGTGGCTCGCGTGGGACCCTATGCCACAGGGGTGGCGTGAGCGGGATGGGAAGAATGGGATGTTCGTACTTTATCAGAATTTTTACAGTGAACACATATGAATCACGCGTTACTTCTGGAATTAAAATTGTCCAAATGTCTCATCTGGGAAGTGGTGGGTTGTTTTTTTTTTTTACCCCCTCTCTTTGTTTTTTTGACTTTTCTGTGAACTCCTGGTACGAAAACCGCTCAGGAAGCCCGAGTCCTGTGCTCGGGGCCTTGAGACTGGTGTGGAGCCTCGGGTGCAGCGGGGGCCCAGGGTTCAGGGCCTTGCAGGTGACTTTCTCCACTCCATGACTCAGTTTTCCCTGTCACACCCCTTCCGAGGCAGCCGGGCAGCCAGAAATAGCACAAGGGAGGGGCTCTGATGGGGGAGAGAGAGGAGAAAAGCAGCTGCCCCAGGAGGCAGGGCAAGGGAAGGAGAGGATGGTTTTAATTGCAATCAGAAGTTTAAAGGGAAAAGCTCAAACAGGGAGGGCGGAGTGAGCCTTCCAGAGGGGCAGGCGGAGCCGCGGAGAGAGTGCGATCACGCAGGGAATCTGCACAGATGCAAAGGATATCTGGGTCCAGGGAGCACCAGACCCTGAGCTGATGGCCGTGGGGGCGAGGAGAAGTCATGAGCTTTGAGGAAGGGGGGCACCGGGGTGGGAAGCCTGGGGGACCAAGGCGGAGGCAGGCCTGAGTCCTGGTTCCTCCTCTAACTCACAGTGTGACCTCCGATACCCCCCTACCCTCTTTTGCCCTCTGTCTTCCCATCTGCTCAATGGGTGCTTAGACCCAAAAGTCCCTAGGGGTCCCTCTTGCTCTGACCTTCCGTGGGATAGAGAGGGGGGTTCAGAGAACAGGCTCTGTGGTCAGAGATGTAGGTTCGAATCCCTGTGCCACTCACTGGTAGCCTTAGAAAGGGAAGTCACTTCAGTTTTTTGTTTTTTTGTGTGTGTGTTTTTATTTATTTCTAGGAGAGAGAGAGAGAGAGAGAGAAAGACAGCGTGAGCAGGGGAGGGTCAGAGAGAGAAGGAGTCACAGACTGAAACAGGCTCCAGGCTCCGAGCTGGCAGTCAGCACAGAGCCCGACGCGGGGCTCGAACCCACGAACCGCGAGATCATGACCTGAGCGAAAGTCGGACGCTTAAAAAAGGGAAGTCACTTCAATGTTCCCTCTGTGAGGTGGGCAAATAGGACCCACTTCGGGGGGGGGGGTGCCCTGAGCACACAGCAGGTGCCAACAAATGGTATGATGCAGACAGGGAGAGAGCGGAGCCTCTGGGGGCCCGCGCCCCGCAGCCCCCACGGCGCCCCACACTCACCTCCTTGTCGATGAGCCGCAGTGGGTACTTGATGTCCGGGCTCTCAAGAGTGATGGCCGGGGCAGAGCGATGGAACAGCTTCATGAGGAGGCCGTAGAGGAACCACACTGGGGACAGGACCACGTGGCCCAACTGCAATGACAGGGGCAGACCCACGGGGTCAGCGCAGGCCCCGGGAGGGCCTGAGGCCTGCCTTTCCCGCAAACACGCCAGTCACGTCACACCTCCGGGCCTCTCTCTGCTCATGCCGTCCCCTCTTCCAGGAGCACCCTCTCCCTACATCCTCATCCAGGGCACCCATCATCTGCTTTGGTGCCGGCTGAGAGAAGTTACAGAAACAAGACACAAGAAACCTCTCAGCGTATTCCGAAGTCACTGGAAAAGCTCCATTTCCCAGAGGAACCAGGACAAAGAAAGCCACATAACTGGGCATGTATCCCTTTTCACTTTGGCTGCTGGGAAGCTCAGAGTAAAGTGCACAAGTAACTATGCTTAACCTTGAGCACTGTGTACCTGTGCTCCCTCCCTCCTCCCCTTCCTTTAGTCAGTTTCCCTGGTCCTATTAAGTGATGTCAAGGGCTGGCTCTATTTAGACAGACAAGCCCCTGAGCCCCGGGATTCTGCCTGCAGGTGTGAGGGACAGCTGAGGCACTGAACTGGGCTCTGGGAGGCTCTGCTGCTTGGTGGTTGTGTGATCCTAGGTAAGTTTCTTACCCTCTCTGAACTAACTGGACCAGGTGATGTGCAAGGTCCGCTGAAACTCTGAGGGTCTACTACTCAGCACCATGCTGAGCCCCACACAGGTGTTAATCTCACGACAACCCTCATAGGGTTGCAGATGAGCAAACAGCTCAGAGAGGTGAAGCAACCTGGCCACAGTCACACAGCTGGCGGGTGGGGAGCTGCACCTGAGTCCATCTGCTTCCCTGATCACGCTCTTAAATAACCGGCCCAGGCTCACTCTGCTGAGGCAGGAGAGGCTCCTCCTTGCCAACCCCCTGGACCCCACATCTCAACCTTACAGACTCTAAGAGGCGGCTTTGATTTATAAAAAACAGACAAAACCGAAATCTCATGGCAGACAGCTCCCCGCTTAGGTTTATTTGGAGAGAACCACCTTGCAAAGAAAGACGACTGGCCACCTGTACTTTCTAGCCGGTTTGGTCCCTGGGCAAATCACTTAGCCTCTCTGAGCTGTTTCCCCATCTGTGAAATGGGATCATTGCCATCTGTCTGCAGCCATGAGGAAACGGTGAGGGCCATTCTCCAGAATAACTGGCCAGGACCCCTCAGCAATGTCAATGGCACAAAAAAACAAAAGGTCGGAGAACCGCTCTAGATTAAAGGAAGCTCTAGTGGGTTGAATGGTGGCCCCCTCAAAATAAATCCACCCAGATCCTGGGAATGTGACATTACTTGGAAAAAAGGTCTTGACTAAGGGTCTCGAGATGAGGTCATCTTGGATTACCCTGGAGGGCCCTACACCCCGTGACAAGTGTCACGACAGCCACCAGAAGCAGGAAGAGATAAGAAGGACCCTCCCCTAGATTCCCAGAGAGCGTGGCCTCAAATACCTTGATTTCAGACCTCCGGCCTCCAGAACTTGGAGGGAGTAATTTCTTTTATGCTCGTTTGTGGTGATTTTCACCCAATCCCGGGGAACCAATACAGAGGCCAAAGCGACAGAACAACAGAATGTGATGTGTGGTTTTGGATTAAATCCTGGGCAAAAAATAAATGAGTCGTAACAGTCAACACTGAGGCAACTGGCAAAATATGCACTAAGGCCCATAGATTAGATACGAGCAATGTATCAACGCCGCTTTCCTGATTTGATCACCACCCTGTCCTTGCTATTAGGAGACACACACTGAAGTATTTAGGGACCCTGTATCTGTGACTTACTCTCAATTAGTTAAAAAAATAATAATAAAACATATACACACACCTAATAAAGCAAATACAGTAAATGTTTACAGTTGGCCCATTGGGTAAAAAGTATACAAGAATTCTTTATACATTCTTGCAACATTACTGTAAGTTTGAAGTCATTTCAAACTAAAAATAGGGGTGGGTGGGTGGGAGCCCACACTGGTGGTTCAAACAGTAAGGCTGAGATCCAAAAGTTCACACAAAACACTGCTTCTCTGGAAAAATGTCTCATATTCTGTTCAGCACCCATCACCAGTACACCTCCCTGACTTCAGTTCTCTCAGCAAATGACCATGTGTTCTTCTGATCATAATCCTACTAGTTCCCCTTTTTGCCTTGGTTGCCAGGAAGCTCCAAGCCAAATTCTTTGCTCGCAAGCCCTCTCGGTTTCCTTTGTGGGCTTCTTAAGGTCGCATATTCTGCAGAGTGTAGACCTAGAAGTGCCCCTTGCTCTACTCAGGGGTGGGTGAGAGGACCCTGCCCTCTCAAGGCCCACCATACTGCTCCCTGGCTTCCTAGAAGCCTTCCCAGGACTCCCCACTTTGTATCAACCCAGGGAGGGTTTTCTGGCCGAGTACCTGAGCCTCGGTGTTCTCATCTGTAGAAGGAAGGTAAGAGCTACCGCTCTGCTAACCGCCTGGGGGAGTCAAGACACGAGATGAGATGGGGGTGCCCAGGTCACAGAGGAAGGTGGGCGCACTCGCAGGAGCTTCTCCTGACAGCCTCAGGGGGCCTCTACCACTGGGGAGATGGAATCGTCAAGTGAAGGAAGGGCAGACGCACCAAGATCCCAGGCCAGGCCGCGGCTCCCCAGACCGGCCCAGCGGCTTCAAGTTACCCTGTTGCAGCTGTGGTTACAGGCCCTTTGTTGGGTCGGAACAATGTGCCTCTCTCTCAGGCAGGGCCTCCCCCCACGGGGCCCCTGGCCTGTGACTGATGGGGCTGAAGGAACATGGGAGCCAGCCAAGGCTCCCCTCTCCAGCCCCACCCACCACTGCCCGTTTAACCAGCACCTGCCGAGTCCCAGGCACCGCCCCAGGCCCCACGCAGCGTTTCACCCACCCTGGGTCTCATTCTAGGCCTTCATTAAAGCCCCAGCTCAGGACGTCAGGACGGAATCGTGGCCTCTCCAGGCCCCACCCCCCTCCAGTGCACCAGGACAGTCTCATCCAGGGCTGGGGAGAATGGAAGACGGAGAAGGCCATGCCCAGAGCAGACGCGGCAAATGTCCCCAAGCTGGCACCGCTCCAAGAGAGGGCCGTGAGCTCCCTGAGATGATCCTCGCTTTCCCCTCGGCTGGAGGCGCTGTGATTACCACCAAGTCACAGGGAAGGAGACGGAGGCCCAGAGCAGGCTAGTGGCTTGCCCCAGGTCCACCAAAGCCAGGGCTTGCACAAGCGATGCTGTTGTCCTGTTTCTCAGGGACGTTAAGTGACTTGCCCGCGGTCCCACAGCAAGTCAGGGGTGGAGCCAGGACTCACCCCCAGGCCTGTCTGGCCCTTCCCGAGCCACCTCCCAGGACAGCTGTGCTCTCTGTGCCCCAGCCACCGAGCCCAAGGCCCGAATCCCACTCGCTCCACCACAGTCCGATATCGTGATGACGCCCCAACGGCCAAACCAACAGGCCACCCACCCCCTCCTCAAACACCCACGATGGCTCCCACCGCCTGCGACACTCAAGGTCCCTACTATATGGCTATGACACTGGCTGAAAGCCCTTCCTGCTTCAGGCCTTTGCACGCTCTTCTTTCTGCCCCAAGTGCCCTTCCTCCTCCCTCACCCAACCAGCGAACTCCTATTCATCCTTCAGAGCCCAGCTGAAATGTCAAATCTTCCCTGACTGGCCCTCCCTAGATAATCAGGCCCTCAGCAGACTTCCAAAGCCTCTGCTCCCCTCCCTAAACCCCCTGGGAATGAGGATGATCCTGCAGACTCCTCTGCTATGGGCCCTGCCTTGTCGCCCAGAGAAGCCATATTCATGGGGACACTGGTGAGGGAGAAAGCAGAGCGAAGTTACATTGGCAGGAAATCCGTTGTAGGGAGCCCCGGAGATGAACTTGAATGACAGTAAGAGCCAATGGGAGTTCTGTTTGGTGCTCGCTGGAGTTTTATTCCCCCCCAACACAGCTGCACAGCCAAGTTTAATAACAATAAGGCCGCCTGGTCTGCGGCTCATGGCACTGTCTGCCTGCAGAGAACCTTCCTCCGGATTTGCTCACCGACCCACAGCGGTGGGAAATAGGCCAACTGCATTCTTCACATGAGGAAACCGAGGCTCAGGGAGGCCCTGGGTGGAGTCTGGGCTTTGGTTCCCAATTTTCTATCACTGATCTCGCGCCTGCCCCCAAGCCCACAAACGCCGGCTGTGGAAAAGATTCGTTAAGTCAACAGCTCTGCAGGCAGGGCCTGGACGGCGGCTGCAGCCCCAGCACAGACCTTCCAGCTTCCGAGCACCAGCCTCACGGACCCGGGACACCAGCCCGGGCTCACACGGCTGGGCCAGAGCCCACGACTGGTCAGTCGCCACGAAACAGCAGATCCTAGATCAGAAGCCCCAGAAGCGGGGGCGGGGGGATCTGCGGGTCTCGTCACCATTGCATCCCCAGCGCTCAGAGCAGGGACACTCAATAAATATTTGTGGATAAGTTCACGAAGGGACAGCAACAAGCCCCGTCCCCGCCCCCCCAGGTCTCTGACTCTTTTTATTTTGTCTGGAAGCTTCAGGAGCCAGGGCAAGAGGCCAGATCCCGTGGGGCGAGGGCGAGGCCCCAGCTCATCTTGTCCCTTTGAAAAACCCACATCCTCCCAGAGTGCAGGCCGGCCGGGGTGGTGGCAGGGGTCCCAGCTTTGATCCTGTGAGGGACACCTGCCGCGTGGAGGGATCGGAGGGCCAGAGCCGTGGCCGGAAGGGGCCACTCGTGTGGGCAGCTGATAAATGTCAGCAGCAGCCTCCGCTCCCCAAAACTGGGCCCTGCCGAGCGAGGTACAGCTGCCCTGCTCCTATTATCTCACGTGATCCTGAAGCCTAGGAGATGGGGGGCTGTCACCATGCCCGTTTCAGGCGAGGACAGACCCGGCCCGAGGGCCAGGACTTGAACGCAGGCACACGTGGCTGCAGTCCACGCGCTGAGTCACTGCACAGCACTGCCTCTCTGTGCCTGTGGACTGCGGAGGTACAAACCCCTTCCTGGGGAGGCAGCTGTGGGCAGACCCTCGCTGGCAGTCAGTCCTGCAGGCCACGAACCCCAGGGAGCACACCCACCGGGGCCCGCGGGGCATTCGGGAACACCAGCCAGGGGACCCGGGCCCTGAGGAGCTTCAGCCAGCGGGCAAGACAGACGGAGGCCGGGGAAGGGGAGCAATGGGAAGAAACCTGGAGGCCTTACCCGATTCACAAGGGGCAGGGAGGCCCTGTTCCTGGGACCTGGGGGCGGAACGGACTCTGTACCCCTTCCTGGCCCACGGCGCCACCCCCACCCCTGCGAGTAGCGGGCAGAGTAAACAGGAGGCAGATAGTGGAGGCCAAGGCTCCACCCCAGCTCCTCAGCCTTGCTGCTCAGACACACATACGTACACATGTGTACACGCACATGCATGCACACACACTCACACTCACACACACAGTCACCACAGCCCCTCGGGTGGGTCTAGGGGACAACTACCCCCCAGGCATTGACCTGATGCCCCACAGGCCATGCTCGGCCCACCGGGGGACCCACCACCTGCTTTTTCTCACCTCTGCTGACACAGACGGGCAGAGGGGGAGGGGCAGCCAGAGTCCCAGCCGTCTCCAGGGAGCCCCCCAGCTCGCCCACCACTGAGGGGATGGGTGGCCCTTCCCCCGCCACACGGCACCCTGCCCAGCCGCCCACCCCCTGGAATTCCCTAACCAGGACCCCGGCACCCGCTCGACCCAGGTGGGGCCTGAGTGCACAGGCCTAGCCCTCCCTGGGTGCCGCCGGGTCCCGGTGCGGAGACTTACCTGCCTGCCGCCCACCAGCCGTCCTGCTGGGCTCTGAGTGTCCACCTCCCCCTGGGTCCCCTTCTCAGGAAGTGGGAGGGAGGGGAGGAAGTTCTGCAGCGGGGGGCTCCTGATTCCAGGGGGGAGGGTGGGGGCGGCCAGAAGCGAGGCCACGGAAGAGCCACACCGAGCTGCCAGCGGCAGCAGGCAAGCCTGGGACTCTACCTGCGGTGGCGGTCTATCAGGGCCCACTGAGCACTCACGTGTTGGGGGCAGGGGAGCCTCGGTCCGGGACGGCAGGCCAAACCCCCAATGCTCCCCCCAGGTATTGGCCGACTCAAGTGCCAGCCCCTGAGCGGGCCCCCCCAGAGTATAGGAGGAGGGGATCAGAGCCTGCACCTCCCAGATAAGACGTCTGGTGCCCAGAGCCCAAGCCGGCCTCGCCGACCTCCTGCAGACCGAGCGGGGCCAGCGCGCCAGGAGGCCTGGCTGGGGTCCGCTGCGGGCATCTTGGGCCAAGCGGGGACCCCAGCAGGGCCCACAAGGAAGAGGCAATTCCTGCCCACCTCTTGGACTGGGGGAGTGGGGGGCGTGGGGCTGGTGAGTCTCCTGACTCCCAGACGGGGCCCTACCCCTCACAAGGGGGTTGCAAGGGGGCCTTGGCTGTTCAGCGAAAATGTACGGAGCGACCACATGCTGGGGACGCAGTGACAAATCCAACCAGCGCCAGAGAGAAGGTGAGAAGCACTGTGGGAAAACAGCAGGGGTGGGGGCCCAGGGTTGGGCAATGAGGGAGGAGGGTCAGCACGTTACACTGAGTAATGCCCGCAGGTTTGCCCTGAGCAAGGCCGCTCCTAGGTCTGGATGTCCCCCAGAGGCCTGGGCTGGGCCACAGCTGCAGGAGCAAATAGCCTGGGGCCAGGAGAGCCAGAGGGAGGAGGCAGGTGCCCTCCAGGTCCAGCGGGGGTGGAGGTGGTTGCGGCAGCAAGTGGCTCTGGGCCTAATCCTCTCGGTACAGCCTTGCTGCCACTCCCCGTGCCCAGCCAGCTCCAGGGACCAGAGCACCTTCGGGGTGGGGGTGGGAGGGAGGCTGCCCTTGGGCTACAGCCTGGAGCACATGCCCCCCCCAGGCCCCCAACTGTGGCTTTTGAGAAACCCCAGAGAGGTCGCAGGCCAGGCAGGAGGGAGGGAGGGAGGCACTGGGCAGACCCAGAAGTGACAGCGTGATGGTGGACTCTGGAGCCACACAAGTTCAGCCCCCACCCCCAGCCAAGGAAAGTGGCCAAGTGTGAGTCGCATTTCTTCATCTGTGAAACGGGGCTCCCCCGTGAGGGCCTCACACGTCTTTAGGTGGTAGCTGCGCTGGGTCCTCTCCCAGCAGCAGGCAGGGGCGCAGCATGGCACGGTGCCCAGAGAAGCCACAAACCCTGCCACGGAGCCACAGCCCACCCACCCCCCTCCCACATTCACGTGCTCTCAGATACTCTCACACACGTGCACTCAGCCACACACCCTCACACCCACTCATATTCTCATGCACGAGTACTTCACACCACACCCACTCTGTATACTCACACTCAGTCACACATCTGCACACAGGCGCGCGCGTGTGCGTTCACACACTCTCGTGCACAGTCACTCCACAGCACACCCGGCCGTGCCGTGTTCACACTCAGCCACACACGTGCACTCCCAAACTCGTGTGCACTCACACTTCACATCCGTCACTTCATATATTCACTCAGCCGCACACTTGCACTCACAAACTCGCGTGCACTCACATTCTCACACTCACTCCCGTGCACACTCACAGTACACCCGGGCGTATCATACACCCACGCGCAGCCGCACATGTGCGCTCTCAAACTCACGCACACTCACACTGTCTCGCGCACACTTGCACACCGGGCCACACACCAACTTTCCCAGCCACACCCTCTCTCCCACCCTGCCTCGCAGGGCTCACGCGCAGCCCGCTCCGCCCTCCAACGGGGCGGGACCCGGAGGGATGCGGGCGGCGGCCGCGCGCCCCGGTGCGGGTCAGCCGGGTGCCCGCCGCCCGCACGCGCCCCTGGAGGAGGGCTGGGTCCCGGCGATGGAGGCCGGGGCGTGGGTCGCGGCGCCCACCCGGGCAGCGCGGGGCGGGGCGCCTGGGGGCCCCGCGCTGCCGACCCCGCGACCCCGTCCTGCCCCTAGCGCCCCCCGCGCCCCCGCGCCCCCGCGCACCCTCCCCGCCTACCGTGCTCAGCTGGGCCCCCATGGTGGCGCCGCGCCTCGCTCGCTCCGCCGCCGCCGAGACAGTCGGGCCGCCGCGCCCAGGGCCCGCCCCCCGGCGGCGTCACCGCGGAGGAGGGGCGGGGCCGAGCGGCGTAGGGAGGGGCGCGTGGCGCGCGGCGGGGTCGGTCCCGCCGGGCGGCCGCGGCTGGGGACGTCGGCCTCCTCTGGGCCCCGCTCGTCACCAGAGAGGGGGAAGGTGGCGCCCTCCCGCGATGGGATCCGGACCTAAAATCCGGAAATCACCGGGCCACGCCTGGCCTAACCTCGGAGGGTGGCCCTGAGCGCCGCGCCGGGCCTCCCGGCCTCCTTATTCCCCGACTCTGCTTAGCCCTGGCGCCTCCAGGCCTTCGAACGTCCCTCTCTCCGGGACACTATCCCCAACAGCCCTAGCGCACTGTTTGGCTGTCAGGAGGTCAGAGGTTCCCTCCTCCACACGGCCTGCGCTGCCCCCTCCTCCGGGCAGGCTCTTGGTAGCACTTGGCTTGGAGCTGAAGTCATCCCCGGCGCCGGGTGTTGTGATGTTGTGTCGGGGATGGTTTGCCCCCAGCCCCATCGCACCCCACTGGACTCCCTGGGGGCCAGGACTCTGCTCTGAAGTCCCCTGCGTGCCCAGAGCTTAGCATACAGAAAGTGCTCAATACTTGTTGAGGGACTGCATTTAACAGTGTCTCCTGTGTGTAGGCCCGCGCTGGCCTCTGGAGGGGCTCTCTGGCCTTGGCCTCCTGGAATGGTCTTGAACCTGGATGTGAGCTCCTGGTGATCTGACTGGTCAGGCTGTAAGGTGATGTGTTCCCGCAGCTGGTGGGGCAGAAGGAACTGCCAGAACCTGGAGGTAGGAACAGAGTGGACAGTCACAAGGTCACCAAAGCCGGAGGGGCTGATACCAAGCAGCGGGGGCGGGGGGCGCACATGGCCTGACCCTGACCGTGAAGTCAGGAGGAGGCAGCATGGGGGCCTGGGTGGAGGGAACTGGGAGGTGGGGGGCAGCGCAGAGGGAGGGACAGAGAAACGGATCTGCTGCTTAGACCACAAGGGTAAATGTGACGCATCAGTTAGGCATCACTTCAGTTTCATTGGTCACATTTTAAAATTTATTATTATTATTTTAGTAATCTCTGTGCCGAACATGGGGCTCAAACTCATGACCCTGAGATCAAGAGTTGTGTGCTCCACCGACTGAGCCAGCCGGGTGCCCCTTATTGATCACAAGTCGAATATTACAAAGGAAGTAATTAAGCCAGCCAGCTTGACTCCGTGGTGTGTAACCAGTAACTTCCCGCCACAGACCCTGTGTCCACAGACACCTTCCGCTGAGGCCCAGGAGCGGAAGATCAGCCCTGGCCTCACTTTCTCCAGTCACCTCTGATTTTCTCCATGTTCATTAAGGACGACAGTTGACATGAGTGTGGACATGTGGTGTTGGAGTTTGTTTCCCTTGAGAAATTTGGAGGTGACCTAACTGGGTTTTCTCTTTTTGATTTTCATCCTCACAAGCCAGGAGGAATTCCCACTCAGGGCTTTTCTTTGAAAGATTCATCCCTTGGGGAGCCTGGGTGGCTCGGTCGGTTAAGCATCCAACTTAGGCTCAGGTGGTGATGAAGAGCCTAAGTAACGTCATTTTGAAATTAAGGCCTCCATTAAGAGCAACTTCGGGCTGCATGTAGCCCCAGTTCCTTAGATTGCTCAAGGCTGAAGCCATCCTCGGACCACCCTCAGATCAGCTAATCAAAAAACATTCCTGTGGTCTGAGTCAAGGCTGGGAACTGTAAACAGTTATTCTGTACAAACTAGCCAATTTCTCACCGCTTGCCTGAACCCCACGTGGGCCCTTTGAACTCACCTCATAATTGGTCATTTTCAAAGGATTCTCAAAAGTCATGATTGGGTCCCACCGAAAGGAATGAACACCTCACAGATACTGAATGGTCAAAGCTGTTACCATGGGTGCTGCTGTACAATTGTCATTGGTGCTTATGTGATGATGCCATACGTACAACGTGTGCACTGTAACACCCCTCTCCCTGACCCCATAAAAACCCTGCTCGCTACTGTTTGGGGCTTCACCTTCTGCCGCGACACTGGTAGGCGGGTGAGCCCCTGCTCAAGCTTGTAATAAAGACCCTTTTGTACTTGCATCGCTGTTGGCTCCTTGGGGGGTCTCAGGGAACTCGCAAATCGGGCACAACAGTGATCTCGCAGTCCATTAGATTGAGCCCCGCGTCGGGCTCTGTGCTGACAGCTCAGAACCTGGAGCCTGCTTGGGATTTGGTGCATCTCTCTCTCTCTATCTCTCTGCTCCTCCCCTGCTCATGCTCTGTCTCTCTCTCAAAAATAAACAAACATTTAAAAAGTGCTTTTAAAGATTCATCCCTTAAATAGCATTAAGTAAACAAACAAAACTTAAATACCATTTAGACTGATATCAATGCTAGGCCAGCAAACAATCCTACAAAATCAGAATTAAGATGAAATCTATTTTTTCTGCTTTCTATTATTATGTAAATTATTAGATGCATTTGTGGACTCAGAAAGGAAATCGCTTTTCTTCTAAAGTTATCACGTTAGGGGCGCCTGGGGGGCTTAGTCATTTAAGCATCTGACTTCGGCTCATGTCATGATCTCATGGTTTGTGGGTTTGAGCCCTGCATCGGGCTCTGTGTTGACAGCTCAGAGCCTGGAGCCTGCTTCAGATTCTGTGTCTCCCTCTCCCTCTGCCCCTCCCCCCACTCATACTCTGTCTCTCTCAAAAATATTTAAATAAACATTAAAAAATTGTTTTTAAATAATAAAGTTATCTCATTATTACTGCCTTACTTAAGGTCACATTAACTGTTCACTTGTTTGAACCTTTTCACTTTTTCTGTACATGAAATTAACATCATTAATAATCAAGATACATTGTTGAGGCATTTCTCTCTCACCGTAATAAATCCTGTCTGTGTTTACACCCCAACCCACGAACACACTTCAGTATGTGAAGCACAAAAGGAAATTTCAGTCCTGGTTACATCTGGAAGCTTCCTTAGAAAGTGACCCACCGGTCAGGTGCGCCTTCGTGGTGGTGTCGGCTTCTTCTTGACTGTATGACCACGGTCCATGGCTACACGTGAACTTGCAGAGGCCAGACCTGGTGTACAAGCGGACAGAAAGTGAAGCTGAAGCCAAAACGGGGAGGGGGCAGACTTTGTCGGCTTGGGGCACCCCACGTGATCAGGACGTGAGCTGCGGATTGTGCCAGTTCCGGCAGCGCCAGAGACCCCTTGCAGCCACACCATCCAGCTGGCTTAGTCCCCAGCCCCAGCAGTACTGTCCTCTGGCTGCCCCCAGCCCTGACAAGGGACTGGTCCGGGTTCATTCCTTTTGCCCAGTTATTGATCTGGCCTCGGCTTCCACTAGAGTTTCTTTCTGGGCCTTGGATCTGTTTGCAATGGCCAAGTGGGACCCCAGACCTGTTACGACTCGTGTTCCCTTTTCTCTGAGCGCCCCCTCCTCTCCTCTGCTCCCCCCGCCGTCTGATCCTGCGTGCATCCTGGAAGGTGAGATGTCTTTGTAGGGGTGAGAGGTAGTGCAGGGTGAGTGGTAGCTCTGTTTCTTTGGAGAGGGGGGGCTAGATTTCTGCCCAGACGCCACAGGACTGCTCACCTTCCTGCAGGACTGTAGGGCGGCCATTGTGTCGGGGAGGATGGGGAGCAGAGAGAAGAGCTGGATGACAGTGGTTCGGTGGCCCCCTCCTGACCTTAGGACTCAAACCAAGTGGGTAGGTTTAACTGCCGTTCACTGTGTGACAGGCTCAGGCCTTCCCCATTCAGGGTCCTCCTCTGTGGGAGGTGGGGAAGGGGACGGTGTCTTTAAGACCATGCCTTTTTTTAATGTTTATTTCTTTTTGACACAGAGACAGAGCATGAGCAGGGGAGGAGCAGAGAGAGAGGGAGACACAGAATCCCAAGCAGGCTCCAGGCTCTGAGCTGTCAGCACAGAGCCCGATGTGGGGCTTGAACCCACGAACTGTGAGATCGTGACCTGAGCCAAAGTCAGATGCTTAACCGACTGAGCCACCCAGGCACCCCAATGTTTGTTTATTTTTGAGAGACAGAGAGAGCACGCGTGCTCCGGGAAGGGGCAGAGTGGGGTGGGGGGGACAGAGGATCCGAGGAGGGCTCTGTGCTGACAGCAGTGAGCCGGCCGTGGGGCCGGAACTCACAAAGCATGAGATATCATGACCTGAGCCAAAGTCCGATGCTTAACCAACCGAGCCACCCGGGCGCCCCAAGACCACTTCCACTTCTGATACTTTATTTCTGGGTGTGCCCTCAGGCTTGGAAAAATACCCAGTGGACAGAGAAATTGCAAGAATAGTACAATGAACTGTTACCATTGACCTCTCTCTCCCCATCCTCCCTGTTTGCCTTCGCCGAGCCATAGACAGTTAGTTACAGATAATATGTGACCCTTCACCCCTGAAGCCTTCCCCACGTTTCTCCTAAGAGCAAGGCCACTCTCTGACAGACCACTGTTCAATAATCAAGCTCAGGAACTTTAACATTGAGACAACACCATTACCTAGTCCCCAGTCCACATTCCGCTTACCTCCATAATGTCCTTCCTAGCTGTTATTTTTTTCTGGTTCGGGCTCTAATCTCAGGCTAAGCGTGGAGTTTACGGGTAGGTGTCCTTTGGATCAGGGGGCAGGTGATGGACTGTTTGTTCCCTGTTGCTGCCTGGCCCGGTCTACCTACAGGAAGGTAACTTTTCCTTTGATACCATGCAAATGCCCTGATCCCCAACAAATTTTTATCCAGTGAATTTAGCGTGTGCTGATGCTCTTTGTCTGACTCAATTATCACTGAGGTGGTTTCACTGCTTTACAAGGTGCTTTGTGTTGGAGGAAGACCTTCATTCTTCCTAATCATTCCTCAAGGTCCTTCTGTGAGCCAAAGGACAGAAAGAAAGGCTGCAGGAGCCCATTTGCTTTCTGGGAACGCCCTGCTCTATTCAGGTGTTTGGTCCTGGGGAGAGGCTGGGAGGGTAGAGAAACCATTAGTTTCATTTGGTAGAAGAGGAAACAGAA